ACCGCCACAACCTTCTGGGCAATGTGGGCTGGTCTCGCGTCTCCCGCGCAAGCAGCTGTGATGGTCGAAAAGGCCCTGCCCCGCTTCGAGGCGTTCGGCGGCTTGGTCTCTGGCACTGAGGAGTCGCGCGGTGCGGTGGGATTGGAGCGCCCTAACCGACAGTGGGATTACCCATATGGCTGGGCGCCGCAGCAGATGCTTGCCTGGACGGCCTTCATCCGCTACGGTTACCAGGAGGAGGCGGAGCGGCTGGCGTACAAGTGGGTTTACATGATCACCAAGGCGTTTGTCGACTTCAACGGCGTTGTCGTGGAGAAGTATGATGTCACTCGTCCTATCGATCCACACCGGGTCGATGCCGAGTATGGCAATCAGGGCACAGACTTCAAGGGAGCTCCGCGTGAAGGGTATGTTTTTCTTTTGTTCTTTTTCCCTTTGTGGATATGTTGGATGCTAATTTGATTATAGATTCGGCTGGGTCAATGCCAGTTATGTCTACGGGCTGGAAATTCTTAATGCCCACATGCGACGCTCGTTGGGAACTATCACCCCGTACGAGACGTACCATAGGGCGGTTGTTGCTCAGGATGCATATTGATTGAATTTTTGGTCGCTGTTACAGTCAAAATTGCTGCACAGGTTGCGAGGGCGTGAGCCAAGTCAAGCCAAGAGCAAAAAAGTCCAGGTAGAAGTAAGCAAGATATTGGATCAGGGCATCATCGGGCAGTGTTGACTGCGTAGCGTTGGTTTTCGGTTATGGCTTGTCTTTCAGTCTTTTCCTTTTGCTAAAAGAAGATCCATAAAATGAGAAAAAAGAACGGACGTCAATTTATATCCTCGCTCTACGGTATATCTAGGTGTGCTAGTACAACAAGATGTATGCTTTGTGCAAGCCACGATCTGTTATATACTTGGGGTAAATGAAAACCCCGCCAAACGAGCTTGCCTGCCTGGAGTATACCCCAGAGCCACAACCCGAACCAACGCGAGAATACGCCGATGGATACCTCGGCAGAGCCACACGTCCCCGACCGAAAAAAGACCGCGCCTCAGAGATCCCGAAGGCGCCATTGTAGGGCTCTCTGCAGACAGCAGATCGATAATAGACGGGTGCGGAGCTGGGGATCCCTTATTTTCCCGAGGTAGTTTTCGTGGGGTCTGGGGCTGAGGAAGTGTGGTATGGGTGTATGCACTTGTTCCTGGGGAGTTATTCAGTATTCGTTTTGTTCAAATTTCTGTATAGGTGTGTGGACAGTGTTGTTGGTTGTCTCGTTAAGCATATTCAAGCTTCTCTGATATCTAATGTTCATCCGTGGAAGAGGCACGCGATTCTTTGGGCTATAAGTGAAAATATGGTACCAGAGATGTTCTCTTTAAATCTCTTACACAGGATCCAAAGATACCTTGTTTCATATTTTTGTTCCAGACCCTAGTTTCATTGTATAGTTCCTGATCTACAAGTCTTATCGGCGCTGAATGCGGTTAGTTTGACAGAGCTCAGTTGTGCCGAGGTCCAACTCGTAGGGCGGTTTTGAGTCATTTTCCCTTTAACAAACAAGGTGGACCTTGTGCGATTGGATAGACACATGTGCATGTAATTTGAGAGTATGTACTCCGTTTTCCGGCCTAGTTTGGTGTAGGTGCTGGTGTGGTAATAAGTCCGCATATATGGATAGCATAGTATACTATATATTGAAGTATTACCGAGAGAATAGCAAATTGTGTAACTTGTTGCTTCAAGACTATACAAATTGGATCTACATCTATGTCAATAACACTGATAGCAAAAGTAAACCACCAATGTAAGCACCGAAAACCGCCGAAATCATTTACTGCGGTAGAAACAATAGAGGATCTTGAGGACCGGTGGAGACCCGTCGAATACCGGGGCATGACAAGACGGCAAGGATGACTCAGGCAGACATTGTTCCTGGACAGCGTTTTCTCTCCGAATGATGAGGTTTTTCTCCTAATTAGCCGGACTGTAACACGTATAGCTAAGTATTACAGAAAGACTCTTGTCTGCTTAAGACTATTCCCAACTGATGAACATGCTCGGAGTGCAGTAGTTGATGCACGTGAAAATTACCTTACGCAGTATCTCGTACTGTCACGGTAATGGCATGTGTCTTCGACGTCATCCGGTTTTATTGAACAACAATCGAACATTAACCATAGTATCGCACCAACTTGAACAATCAAGGAAAGAAAGAGGACAAAAGAACAGCTGGAATACAATACTCTCTTTATTCCAGTGAGATGCCGATTATCGTGACATTAAAAGAAGATTTGGTCCAGTCAGCAGTGGCAAAGGACTCTCCCATTAGACCGAGGATCATCAGAGCCTGGATCCTCTCTTCCGAGCCCAGTTGTACCCGCATTCCGCCTTTCGGAGCGCTTTGCCCGTGAAAGATTGGGATATGAAAAAGAGTGTACCTAGGCAATTGGAATGTATTCGTCTGATTCCCGGTGAGCCGAGCGTTTACCGACTGTGACGCATTTGAATGTTTAATAAGTACCCCGGGTTTTCTGGCTTGTGATCGCTTTCTTCTTTTTATTATAGCTTCGCTTCCCTTCTTACCTTGACTTCCTTTTCTTTCTTCCGTCTATACTTGGAATAGCATTGGAACAGACGTGACACTTCCCACGCCTGAATATACTATTTGACTATTTGTACATTTTTTCTGTATTATACCAAAAAGTCATGGGTCTACACGAAGATGAGGACCGCCAGTTTGCGGCAGAGGTCCAGGCCGTTCAGAACTGGTGGAAGGACTCTCGATGGCGCTACACCAAGCGGCCTTTCACAGCTGAGCAGATTGTGGCCAAGCGTGGTAACCTGAAGATTGATTACCCGTCCAATGTGCAAGCAAAGAAGCTCTGGGGTATTGTCGAGTCAAACTTCGAGGTAAGTTTAGCTGGGAAAACATCGGGGTCCACCATTATGTAGATACTAACTAAACACCCCACAAACAGAAAAAGCAGGCCAGCTACACCTACGGATGTCTTGAGCCTACCATGATCACTCAAATGTGCAAGTTCCTCGATACTATCTACGTCTCTGGCTGGCAGAGTTCGTCTACTGCTTCGTCGACCGACGAGCCCTCCCCCGATCTTGCCGATTACCCCATGGTACGTTGAATATACTGGCGATATCAAAAGTTGGCGCATACTTACAAGTACTCCACAGGACACCGTGCCTCGCAAGGTGAACCAGCTGTTCATGGCACAGCTCTTCCACGACCGTAAACAGCGCGAGGAGCGCGTTACTACCCCCGCAGGCCAGCGTGGAAATGTCGCCAACGTCGACTACCTGCGTCCCATTATCGCTGATGCCGACACTGGACACGGCGGTCTGACCGCTGTCATGAAGCTGACCAAGCTGTTCGTTGAGCGTGGTGCTGCCGGTATCCACATCGAAGATCAAGCCCCCGGCACAAAGAAGTGCGGCCACATGGCCGGCAAGGTCCTCGTCCCCATCAGCGAGCACATCAACCGTCTGGTTGCCATCCGCGCCCAGGCCGATATCATGGGCTCCGACCTCCTGGCCATCGCCCGTACTGACTCCGAGGCCGCCACCCTCATCACATCGACCATCGACCACCGCGACCACGCCTTCATCGTCGGCTCCACAAACTCAAGCATCCAGCCCCTCAACGACTTAATGGTGGCCGCTGAACAGGCCGGTCAGAACGGCGCCCAGTTGCAGGCAATTGAGGACCAATGGACTGCCCAGGCCGGCCTCAAGCTCTTCAGCGAAGCCGTCATCGACACTATCAACGCCGGCTCCAACGCCAACAAGAAGAGCCTCATCGACCAGTACCTCGCCGCCTCCAAGGGCAAGAGCAACACCGAATCCCGCGCCATCGCCAAGAAACTCACCGGTGTCGACATCTTCTGGAACTGGGAAACCCCCCGTACCCGCGAGGGCTTCTACCGCTACCAGGGCGGCACCCAGTGCGCCGTCAACCGTGCCATCGCATACGCTCCCTTCGCCGATCTCATCTGGATGGAGAGCAAGCTGCCCGACTACAACCAGGCCAAGGAGTTCGCCGACGGCGTTCACGCCGTGTGGCCCGAGCAAAAGTAAGTTTTTCTCTACTAGGTTTTCCCGTACACTATAGAACCTCCCAACTAACAACCCCCACTAGACTCGCCTACAACCTCTCCCCCTCCTTCAACTGGAAGAAGGCCATGCCCCGCGAGGAGCAGGAGACATACATCACGCGTCTCGGCCAGCTCGGCTACTCGTGGCAGTTCATCACTCTGGCTGGATTGCACACTACCGCGCTTATCTCGCACCAGTTCGCGAAGGCGTACTCGCAAAACGGCATGCGCGCCTACGGCGAGCTTGTCCAGGAGCCCGAGATGGAGCAGGGCGTTGATGTCGTCACCCACCAGAAGTGGAGTGGTGCTAACTATGTCGATAATCTGCTGAAGATGGTTTCTGGTGGTGTGAGCAGTACCGCTGCTATGGGTAAGGGTGTGACCGAGGATCAGTTCAAGAACTGATTTCTCGTGCGGCTCATGTTGATACCCTGATGGTCTTGGCTGTCTATCTCTATAAATGTGCTTGATGTCTTGTTTCTTTGTCCATTGTGGCGTTTTCCTTTTTGTTTCTAAATAGTCTTGATTTGATTCCCTGTCGGTCTTGCTCTCCTGTTGGATGTGTGAGCCGATTTATTTTGCATTTTGGAAATCACAGCATATTTGATTTACATCTTGATTGAATGTGACTTTTTCGGAGGTATTCGATTGAATTTGTAGCTATAGAAAAGCTCTATAATGTTAAGGTTGTAAACTGTAAATGGATATCAGAACCAGTGATAGATCAGATGGAGAATCTTGAAGTCAGCAATGGATTATGTCGACTATAGAAACGACAGATGCAACAACGCTGCCAAACTATTATATTTTCTACATGGTGGTCCTATAAGCTTTGTTTTGCAATATGATGGACATTATATTCCACGTAACACTCGCAGGATAGATGCTATTTATCAAAAGATAAGTCTGAAGATATGGCTGTAGATGAAAAAGCCACCGGGCTGTCCAGGTATCGGCTGTAGAGAGAAAGTTGCCGTAAAGTTCAAGGGCTTATCAAACGCATTATCGATCTATTGTATCCAAGATTAGGCATTAGCTATAATCACTCTTAGTAGATTGAATAGACTGCTTACAGCTAGACTTCCAGTAACAACCACTAGAACACCTGAATTAACAGACGGGGTAGCGTCTGTAGACGATATCATAGTCTTTATGGTCTTCAGCTCGGGTTTCTGAAGTAAGTGACAAGTTAGACGTGGATATTCATTATGCATTCACTTTCATAATTAGAAACACTTACAGTCAAGGCTGACATGATGTTCTGCGTGCCTTGTTGTTGGTTGCCCTCCCATGCTAACATCGACTCCGGACGCTAATCAAGTCAGGTTCCTCTTTAAAGATTGTATAATCACCTCGTCTCCAGAGTATTTTGTGGACTGGAACATACATAGAGCGAGGTCAGGTTGTTCCTTGCCTCCCAGTTATCGAACGTTCTAAAGTAGTGCTGGACAAAGGCATCTAGATAAATTTAGCAATCATTCCGCAGGTCCATATTTCAGCAAGAATAGTTGAAGATAGATAGATATAGAGAAGCTAGGGCTACATACTGGAGACTGCTTGATAATCCATTGTTTGCTGAACGCAAGACTTATTAGCGAGCTTCACTCAGTTGCTTTGGAACTTCCACGACTAGTTATAGTAGGATGCAGAAAGTGTGTAAAGCGTACAGAGCTAGCGTTTGATTTAAACGTGGTCGATTGTTGAGTGAAAGCAGAATTGTAATAATTAAAATGGAATTGTGACTCCAAACACACACCTTTATATAGTCGAGCGCAAGTTGCTCCCCCATCTGCATGTAATAATAGGAATGTGCTGGCAATGCATGGAGCTATTGCAAAATCTACTGACCGCAAGTCTTCAGCTATGTACACACCAGCCATAAAGAAGTACATCAGACTACTAATGGTCGATCAATATCTAAATCGAGTATGTAGATCGGCAAGGATGGTCGATGTCCTGCATGATGTTGTTTCAATTTTGGATTCTTCAGCCGATGCCCCAACCAGCCGCTTCACATCCAGTGCCCCTCCACGGGCATGCATGCCTCGCCATTACGGCGTGTCTGTCCTATTTTAAGGTGGTGCGGACTCGATGCTCTCAAGAGTGGTGCTGTTAGTTGTTTCCTAGCTAACTGTATTTATTGTAGTCCTTGAACGGGGAGCGCTATCGATAATAGTCGTGCTCTCGAATTTGTGTGATGTATCATATCCCCAATTTACCCACAATCAAGTCGCTAGCTGCACTACACTGAGTATTGAACTTTGTGTAGTTCTCTTGTCGGAACCGATGATCAGCGTGCTAATTGTGAACTTTGATATTTGTCTTTCTGCTACGAGGTGGGCATGAATAGATCGTTGGATTCTTAGTCCAGCGCGGAGTACGGAGTACAAAATATAAACACGGAAGATTTTCCGGGGAAGTAGCGATAGATATTTTGATATGGTGGGAAGAAATAAAACATAGCGGCAACAGCGTTCTTCCTTTAGGAATAGCAAGTGCTATCATGGAAATACCTGGTAAGAAGGTCAATGATAGCATATTCGGTACATTCGTTCAGTATAAGATGAAGTTGCTGTGCTCTCCTCTGTATACATATTCACGGATAAGGCGTGCTCCACAACGATCTAATCGCCGGGAACATCCATGGATGGATGGTCTGGGATGAGGTCAGCGGTCGCGTAATCCATGGATGTACATTGACTAAGAGCGGGCGCACTTCCAAGCAAGACGAGTTCCTCTGGAATCTGTGTCCCCAATTAAAAAATGTAAGCAAGCGACTGGATGGAAAAAGACCCCTAACAAGCTCTCTAGTTGCTTTGAGCGTGAAACTCGGTGCATGAGGAATACCTTACGATGGTGAACCGGAACAATCAACAGTACAGTACTCCGTACAGTTTTAATTATTTTAATTATACGTGGATTACAAATTTATCCGCTCTTTATGATACCCCAATTCAATGATTCAATGATTCAATGTGTCTTTTTACGTGGCTTTTTCCATAGGGTAGAATTATATAGTAAGTCGTTTACCACAGGTTATACATAGAAAAGTGCTTTATTTACCGCCTTCACATACAAAAGATATCTCAAAAGACATCTCAAGGCCTGTCTCATATAAAGTGAAATCTACTGAAATCTAAGCTAATAAGAGTGTCCCCACTTTTAGATTCGTCTAGAACACAGTACACCTGAGTAATAGGATTTGGAGAAGACCATCTTGAGCGGGGTAGTTCGTGTGAAGCCGCGGTTCATACTTGGATCTATTTCATTGGGATGATGGGATTATTACCTACAACATAGGTACTTCGTACTTGAATCCATAAAATAGACAAAGAAAAAAACAAGAAAAATCACCGGCGCAAAGACCTAAACTAGAATGAGCCGAGAGCTCGGAGCATGGTGGGCCTCTGAACAAATAGGGGTTGAGATATAGGAAAACCTTGAAACCTTGGAAGCTATAGAATTGCCTAGGTAATTTCACTGAGGAATGTCTATTTTATGGAGCGGGGACATACGGCCCACCCTTATATATCCGTAGGCAGCTCACTTTCTCCTTTCTCTCCATTTGATCTTAATATATTTTAATCTATCTCCATCATGGCTGGACTACCCGAGTTTAAAGCTACCTCGCTCGATGAGATTCCCGCGCGCGTCTCCACAGCCCGCAAGGCGTTCAGTGAGCACAAGACCCGCGACTTGGAGTTTCGCCTCGTCCAGCTGCGCAAGCTGTACTGGGCGTGAGTACTGAATGCTTTTATGTTTTCGGTCAATGCATTAACAATTTCCTAGCATCAAGGATAATGAAGAAGATATTATGGAGGCCTGCGCCCAGGACCTGAACAAGCCTCGGTTCGAGACCAACCTCGGAGAGAGCGGATGGCTCCTGAACGACATTGTCTTCACGACGCGCAACCTGCACAAATGGGCCAAGGATGAGAAGGCCTCCGATATCGATCTGGCCTTCAAGTTCATGAGCCCCAAGATCAGAAAGGATCCTCTGGGAACTGTCCTGGTCATTGGGTACGCCTCCCTCCCTCGCGATACGCCGTGAGAAATACCCGAAGACTAACAAGCTCTTTTTAAGTGCCTTTAACTTCCCCTTCCAGTTGACTCTCGCTCCCGCCATCGGTGCCATCGCCGCTGGAAACACAGTGGTGATCAAGCCTAGCGAAAATGCCCCCCGCAGCGCCGCTGTCATGCAAAAGATCATCGAGGCCAGTCTCGACCCTTCATGCTACACAATCATCCAGGGCGGGATCCCCGAGACACAGGCCTTGCTGACCGAACGGTGGGACAAGATCTTCTTCACCGGTGGTGCCACCGTCGGACGCATCATCGCCAAGGCCGCTGCACAGCATCTGACCCCTGTCGTGCTCGAGCTGGGCGGTATCAATCCCGCCATCGTGTCCAAGAGCGCCGACCCGCGTCTCGTCGCTCGCCGCATGCTATGGGGTAAGCTTCTGAATGCAGGCCAGCTCTGCACCTCGCAGAACTACCTGCTGGTCGACAAGTCGCTCGTTCCAGAGGTCGTAGAGGAGTTCAAGAAAGCCTACAAGGAGTTCTACCCCCAGGGTGCTAAAGGCTCGCCCGATTACTCGCGCATCGTCAACCCGACCGCCTTCGCCCGTCTCAAGTCCATGCTTGATAATACTAAGGGCCAGATCCTTATGGGTGGCACTATGGATGAGAAGGAGCTGTTCATCGAGCCGACCGTTGTTCAGGTTGACTCGGTTGAGGACTCCATGTGCTCGCAGGAGAGCTTCGGTCCCTTCATTCCCATCTTGCCCGTGGAGAACCTTGACGAGGCTATCAGCCTGGCCAATGGTGTCCAGAGCACACCTCTGGGTCTCTACCCCTTCGGTAACAAGGCTGATGTCAACAAGAGTAAGTTTCTCTTTTTTTTTCCTGCATCTCATCCTCCGCAAAGACAGCTATTCTAACCCTCTTTCCTAGTTGTATCTTCCACCCGCTCTGGTGGCGTTTCCTGCAACGACGCCGCGCTGCACATTCCAACCCTGCCCTTCGGTGGTGTCGGCGAGAGTGGCTACGGTGCTTACCGTGGCCGCTCCAGCTTCGACGTCTGGGTGCACCGTCGCCCTATCACCTCCACCCCAAGCTGGTTGGAGTCCCTCCTGGCTATCCGGTACCCACCGTACGCCGGAAAGATCAGCAAGTTCAATGCTGCCAGCGCCCTGCACCCCGACTTTGACCGCAACGGCAACAAGCTGAGTCTCGGCTGGCTGCGCTACATCTTCACTTTGGGTGGAGGCAGTGCGAAGGCTGGAGCCGGCAGAGCTGTTGCTATTGCTGCCAGTAAGTAATCTTTCCTCATCTCTTTTCCTTTTTTTTTTTTTGCCATTTCTGTGAATATTTCCCATATCTTGCACATCTGTTTCGTGGGTGGGTTTAATCTGGTCCTGGAGACTTTTCTCCGGATGAAGGAGAACTAAATTCCAAGATCCCTGCACCAACCCTGTCTGTGGCTGCTTATATGCTTCAGACGCATAATCCCTGCCTATATTATATACCCCCAAGCTCATGTACTGGCTTAATCCTGTTATACCCCCTCCGAGGATGTCTATCTCTGCCATTTCACCTCCTTTCTTTGAACATGCTGTCATACCCTGGAATCGAGAAAAAAAAAGATAAGCTCATAATCTGTGAAACTTAATGAAACTTACCTTTTCCTTGTTCCCCTTTCATTCTATTGCGCTTTCACCCCTCTTTCAATCATTTCAATTTGCAGATCATACCTATCAAAGCTTTTGAAAATTACAGTCTAACCCGTAATAGTTGCCTACGTCGTCCTACAGATCCTCGAGCGCCGATCTGCGAAATTGTGAACGTGAATGCTCACCCCTGAACTTGGATACCCCGCTTAGGATCTACTACTTTTGCGCTGATCACTCCTTGTCTTGGTATGGGAGAAGTTAAGCTTCGGCTTGGAGTAACACGTGCGGATGACTTTGGGATCTTTTTGTTATAGTAAAAAACTTTGCCATTTAGGTAAGTGCTTTTTGGATTTGATCGCCCTTTCATGCTTTTGTTTCGAATATTTAAGCCATGTATCTCTCCATTCATTTATGACTTGTGTTGCCTTGGATATATATGTATTGTACTGTAGGCAAGTGTGTAGTTTACCTAGACATCTTCGCATTGGAGCTTTTGTACAAAACCTACTAGCCCACAGCATTACATCGAGGTAAACCCGTTATTAGAAAATATAGACAGATCTAACATTCATATCATCATTCATGCTGTTAAATGCAGTGATTATCGAATGCGCTATCTAAATCAGACAAATGCCTCGGTTCATCTGACCAAAAGAAAGGAACTTAATCAAGTACAAGGGTTCTAGCAGCGCCGTTCCACGCCGCGATTACTCACACACAGGTACTTGACACCCTTGTATGGCTTGACGCTCTCGCCCAAGCCGCGACTGCGACGCTGGTCGATGTTGAGACTGTCCACTTTGATGCCAGAGGGAAGCCAGCCTCGCACGGAGAAGGATACCGCTGCCGAGTTGGGCATCAGGCTTGCATTGACCTGGGCTTTTGTTCTGCGCGTGGGGCGGGATGTAGATGATGGAGCGAAGAATGCGGGGAGGTGGGAGTTAGACTGGGATTGTGATTGGAGAGGGGGTGTGGGGGTGTGAGGTATCGAGGGATTGGGGGATGGGCTGGTAGCTGCAACGGGGTCTTCTTCCGCGTCTTCTGGGAGTAAAGCAGCAGAGCGGGAGGATTTCTTCGTTGACTTCTTCTTCTTCTTTTTGCGCTTGGAGGGGTCGGAGGAACGGGTTTTCTTTGATGTACTGGCGGATGCATCGTTGTAGGAGGTAGGCGCCTCGTAGTAGCCTTGAAGGAGGTTGGCATTGGCATCTTCGTCGGCATCCTCGACGCTGTCATCAAAGTCGTCATCAGCGGATGGATAGCCTGAGACACTACAGCGCAGTGTGGCAGTCCCAGTCAATGTTCCGGCATCCTTGCCGGTGGGAATCCGCCACTCGAGGAGCCCGCTTGAGGGTGTGAATTGAGCGTCACCACGGCTGGCCTGCATGTCCGTGATATGGCGGACAGACTTTGAGATTGGTACGCTAACAACGACCTCTTCAAGCGCCGGTGTGGAGCTTCCACTTCCGCTCCCACCTAGGAATGACGGCGTTGATGTGCCGGAGCCGCTTCGGGTAGCCCCAGGCCGCGAGGATGAGCTTTGGCCCGGGAAATTTGTGTTCAAAGTTAATCGGACCTCAAATTCGGAGCCAGATGGCCCGAGTGATTTGCGGATATCCACAATAGCAGGGAGGAATAGCTTTTCCATATGGCTTGGTGGCTCATCCTGGTCAGGATCTATGGGAAGGAGATCCACTTCATATCCAGCCAAGATAAACCGCCCATCGGGGGGTATGAAGCTGAGCTCGCCCGGCCGTTCCTTCCATCGAGCCAGTCGAACACATGGGTGAAAAACCGGTAGTTCGATCTTGCGCCCAAGAACATGCTGGCCACCCGGCGCTGATAACGATAGCAGTAGGTCCGGGACTCCTGATATCTTAGCAGTGAATGCAATGGTCCCGGATACCAATGCAGACAGCAGTCGTCCCGAAGGAGCCATAGTAACAGAGAGAGATTCAATGATATCGACATATAGCTCATTAGAGGTATGCCGTACACCGGGCCGTCGCCAAGGAATGGCGGGTCCTTGTGATGCACTGGCGGCGGCGAGAGATTGCTTGAGAGGATTGGTAGATCCTAGCGTTGGCGTAGATGTACTAAAACCCACGCGAACACATTAACGCCAAATACTATCGTTTTTTAGGCCAAGAGTTGCTCACCCAGGTACTCCGATTCCATTTAGTAACTTCCCCATCCACCCGGGAACCTCAACAACCTCCTGCAATGCATTGGGCTCGGTATTGCATACTGTTCCCCCATCACACATCTCATTAAAAAGCTGCGCGACAACATCGTAATTGGCCTGGATCTTAGTTGAGAGCAGTGGTGCTCCAACAAAGTCCTCTAGTACATCGATCACGCGATGCAGGAACTCCAATGCCAGAAGCGGCTCCGTGTCGACTTCGCTTATTGCGAGAAACAACAAATTTGACTCAACTGTTGAGAAGACAGTCACCGGCGGCGACGCGCTAGGAATGTACAGCAAGGAAGGGCGTGGTTCGGCATGGGCAAGGTAGAGGGGCAGGATGGCGGAGGCCGAGGGCGGGCGGGATCGATATACATGTTCGATGAGAGGGGCGCTAGGGAGGACGGGTTAGTGTGATTTTGCAAGCCGGCGCGGGATATCCCACTTTTGCTCGTCATATATGTAAACGGCATCAATCTCGCCGCTCATGGTGACAGTTGTCTGATGATGAGATTACTCTGCGGTCTCGGGGTAGATTGCATAGCTCTCGTGTTTTGCCGCCTATTCCCGCCTCCCGATAACTTTTTGGAGACAACAGACATCAACTCATAGTGACTGGGCTCTGGTGGTACAGTGCGCGTTTGTTTCTTGTTCTTGCTCCGAACAATGTTTAATACGCTCTACTCATTCTTCTCTTCTGATAAGCACACCATGGATACCCAGACGAAAGACGCCAAGCAGGCTCTGGCCGAGGACAAGTACGACGACTGTCTGTCCTGCAGAGTGACTGGTATGTTTTTATTTTTAGCCTTTGATCCGGGCATGTATTACCAGAATTATGTACTGACATTCTGTACCAGGATCTGCTGCTTTCATGGGCCTTGGAGTCTACAGCTACTACACTGGAATGGCCAATCTCCGGAAACAAGAGAAGGCCATCATGCAAGGCCCCACAAAATACAAGATGGGCTCGCGCAAGTTGGGGATTGCCTCGATCTCTGCAACATTAGTGGGAATGGGGCTGTGGCGGGCGTTTAACTGAGCATTGTACGTTAAACACATACTAAAGCATATGGGATGCGACAGAGGCCGGGGTCGAGCAGGCTAGGTGTTTGACAGTGAAGCGCAGGTTGGAAGCTTTGTAAGATATTGATTGTTATTTAGTTGCAAGCCAATGATAATTGCCACTCCGGGTATCGGGTATCACCACAGGCATATCCGTCTATATGCTAGATCACAAGGGGAGGGGTAAAAGTAAGAAAAAGAGACAAGAAGACATCAAAGAAACCCATGGAAGAGAAGAACGAAAAGAAAGAAAGCAAAAACCATATGCAAAATGTCCCTTCCTTGTTATGCACCCGAAAAGCACCTTCATACCCGAAATCTCAACCAGCCACTGTGTGACAATCAGAAGGGAATGGTCGTCACTTCGTCATCATATAATACTTTATCTAGGTCAAGCGCTAGGTAAAGCGGCCTCGTTTCCCACCTCCTGACGCATCTCGTCCGTTGTTAAGCCCTGACAGATCGAAGAAATCCGGAAAAGTGAATTTCCTCTTGGAACCAAGACTAGCGGGGGACTCCCGTGGAGAAAGGCGCGCATTTGATCGTGGGTGGTTGTTGTGACGATGGTGTGGTCGACTGTTGCGAGGCATCACTGAGACGCTCACAGGAGCGCCGTCCTGCATAGTCCCAGATGAGTTATCTGACGACTGCACATCCATGTCGAGCTCTTGACACTGAGGGTATGTAGGACCAGCAGAGAATGTGAAGACGGCAGGTGTGGCGAAAGAAGGTGTTTCGTGGAGTTGTGCGGGAGGAGGAGGAGGAGGAGTGATCGATTCTGGCTTGGATGTGGGTGCGGGCGCGGAAGTGGGGGTCTGACGAGCAATTGTTTCGGGTGCAGGTTTCTCTTTGCGGGCAGTAGCCGGAGTGGCACTTCTGTCACGCTTGTCGGCCTCAGCATCTTCATCGCTGCTTTGCGATCCAGTCCCGTCACATTTTTCGGTTGCCCATTGTCGAACCTTCCACCCCTCTCCGTCTCCGAGACCGAGGTTCTCACGGTCAAGGAAGTGGAGCAGATCCTCTATCGCATCCTGGTATCCTGTTGCCCTTGCCTGGGCTTGTTCACATACTGCATTCTTGTACAGGTTTGTGACAGACAGAGCCGCCGCCTTGAATTGCTGGAGGAGTTGCTCCGGAGGTTGCGGGCGGGGTGTCGAGCTCGGAAGAGAGGTGTTGAGGGACCTCATGGAGTCCATGGCAGGGCACAACTTCAGGGCCCTGTTGGGCAATGGGTTTGAGGACGAAGGTGTTTGTGTTGACAACTTCTTATGCCGTGCGTCGTTCCTCAGAGGACAAATGGCGATAGCGAAGAGCTTGGAAGCGGTAAACGAGAGCAGTAGGAATCAGAGGGACTGCAACAAGAAAGAAGGAAAGAGCTACCGCAGACAGGATCAGATATATATCTGGGTAGTTGTTCACCTAGCTGTGCAACAATAAGCACTAAGATGTGTCAACGGAGGAACTTTCAATTTCAAGGTTGTTGCAGATGACCGCCCTGGCCCGGTAACGAGAAGCCCACTTTCCGGCGGAATAACAATATTCCATACCGCAGGCCCTACCGAAAGGCGGTATCTTCATTTGCCATCAACGCGCTTTGAATACCCTCAATAATCCTGGTTTAGAATTGTTCGATAGCATTGAATCTATGGGATCCCCATTGATGACTTGCTCCAACTTTTGACTTTACTGGTCTATATTAAGACAATACCCCTGGCTTCTTCACCACTGCGACCGCAGTTAGTTCTTTCTTTCTGCACTACGCGATCCGACTAGTCGCGAGCTTCCGATATTCTTTGTTGCAAGCTGAAAGACGTGTTTAAACAACGAACGTACCTGCAATCTGTTCACCAAAGATAAAACATGGCTCCTGCCCTCGCGTCTGATCCGGTCTCGCAGGCTGATACTCCCATGACTGATACAAATGACGACACGGTCCCTTTCGTGCCTGTGGATAGTGTCGACGCGCAAATGACGGTATGTGGCATTGTTCCTATGAGCTTGTCTAGAACAGACCGTTGCATGCCTTTCTCAAATGATTCCCTTGTTTCAAGCTCATACTAATTTTCTTTCGGAATCTAGAGCCGCCAAAACACCCCAGATTACACGGTATCGATACCCTTGGTCTACAACACCTTGTCTAGAGAGGGAAGGTTGCTAATTATTTGAGAAGGACTCTGACACAAATCCCAACACCACTGCAAGCAGCGTTGCGGGCGACGCGGCGGCCGATGGACGTAGGCGCAGATCTGAGGCCAACCACCTCAGAAAAAGCATCCTAGGCAAGAAGCATGGCCGCCTCGATAATACGAAGGTATGGGTGATAAAATAAGATTGCTGAGGACCCCTTTGCTGATACATGTTGTTTCGCAGGAGGATGACTCGATTCGCCGATTCCGATACCTTCTTGGTCTCACTGACCTGTTTCGCCACTTCATCGAGACGAATCCAAACCCTGAGATCAAGCAGATTATGGCGGAAATCGACCGACAAAATGCTGAGAGTGAGGAAAAGGCCCGCAAAGGCTCTAAGCGCTCTGGGGGTGCTGGTAGCGAGCGGCGCCGCAGGACCGAACAAGAAGAAGATGCAGAGCTGCTACAAGATGAGAAGCAGGGCGGCGATAGCACCACCGTCTTCCGAGAGTCGCCAGCCTTCATCCACGGTGAGCTACGTGATTACCAAGTTGCAGGCTTGAATTGGCTCGTTTCGCTACACGAGAACGGTATCTCCGGTATCCTGGCCGATGAGATGGGTCTTGGTAAGACCTTGCAGACGATCTCATTCCTAGGCTATCTACGTTACATCCGTGATATTAATGGGCCTCATTTGGTCGTCGTGCCGAAGTCAACCTTGGACAACTGGAAGCGAGAGTTTGCGAGGTGGACCCCGGACATCGATGTCCTGGTGCTCCAAGGTAACAAAGAAGAACGCCAACAGTTGATCAATGAGCGCTTAGTCGAAGAGGAGTTTGATGTTTGCATCACCAGTTATGAAATGATCCTCCGCGAGAAGTCGCACCTCAAAAAATTTGCCTGGGAATACATCATTATCGACGAGGCCCATCGGATCAAAAACGAAGAATCATCGTTGTCGCAAATCATCCGTCTTTTCAACTCCCGCAATCGGTTGTTGATTACTGGTACTCCGCTGCAAAACAATCTGCATGAACTGTGGGCTTTGCTCAACTTCCTTCTCCCAGATGTCTTCGGCGATTCCGAGGCATTTGACCAGTGGTTCTCAAACCAGGATTCCGATCAAGAAACTGTGGTGCAGCAACTCCACCGTGTTCTCCGCCCTTTCTTGCTTCGACGTGTTAAGAGTGATGTCGAGAAAAGTTTGCTGCCGAAGAAGGAACTAAATCTCTATGTTCCAATGTCTGAAATGCAACGGAGGTGGTACCAGAAAATTCTAGAGAAAGATATTGACGCTGTCAACGGCGCCGCCGGGAAGCGCGAGTCCAAGACTCGCCTGTTGAACATTGTCATGCAACTGCGGAAGTGTTGCAACCATCCCTACCTGTTCGAGGGAGCTGAACCAGGTCCTCCGTATACGACCGACGAACATCTTGTTTTCAACTCGGGAAAGATGGTCATTCTGGACAAACTTTTGAAGCGCATGCAAGCAGATGGTAGTCGCGTGCTTATCTTCTCTCAGATGAGTCGTGTACTGGATATTCTGGAAGATTACTGTTGTTTCCGAGACTACAACTACTGCCGTATTGATGGTACCACGGCACACGAGGACCGCATTGCTGCTATTGATGACTACAACAAACCCGGATCCGACAAATTCGTTTTCCTTCTTACCACCAGAGCGGGTGGTCTGGGTATCAACTTGACCTCGGCCGATATCGTCGTTCTCTTCGACAGTGACTGGAACCCGCAGGCTGATTTGCAGGCCATGGACCGAGCTCACCGCATTGGCCAAACGAAACAGGTCAAAGTTTTCCGTTTTATCACAGAGAACGCTATTGAAGAGAAGGTTTTGGAACGAGCTGCTCAGAAACTGCGCTTGGATCAGCTTGTCATTCAACAAGGTCGTTCCGGACAACAGGCTGGCAAAGCATCTTCGAAGGATGATCTCCTTGGCATGATTCAACACGGTGCTGCTGACGTCTTCAACACCAAGGGTGGAGAGGGACGCGAGATATCCGAAGATGAAGATATCGAGACTATCCTGCGTAAAGGTGAAGAACGAACCGCAGAGCTCAGCAAAAAGTACGAGACCCTCGGCATTGATGACTTGCAGAAGTTCTCCTCTGAGAGTGCATATGAATGGAACGGCAAAGATTTCACCGAGCGGAAGAAGGATATTGGCATCAGTTGGATCAACCCAGCCAAGCGTGAGCGCAAAGAACAATTCTATTCCATCGACAAATACTACCGCCAAGCCTTGGCCACTGGAGGCCGAACTGCCGATACAAAGCCCAAGGTTCCACGTGCTCCTAAACAAATCACTGTCCATGACTGGCAATTCTTCCCTCCTGGTCTCCATGAGCTCCAAGAGAAGGAGACGGCCTATTTCCACAAGGAGATTGGTTACAAGGCTCAATTGCCTGAAGGCCCCGAAGAGGAGCTCAGTGAACGAGAGGCTGAGCGGGACCTTGAACAACAGGAGATTGATAACTCTGTCCCGCTTACCGAGGAAGAGCAAGCCGAGAAAGCTCGTATGTCAGAAGAAGGCTTTGCAACCTGGAATCGACGTGATTTCCAGCAATTTATCAACGGATCTGCCAAGTTTGGTCGCACCGACTACAAGGGTATTGCTACTGAGGTGGACAGCAAGGAGCCCAATGAGATTAAGGAATATGCCGAAGTCTTCTGGCGCCGGTACACCGAGATCCAGGACTATCCTAAGTACCTCCGAGTCATCGATCAGGGCGAGGAGAAGGTGCGGAAGATAGATCACCAGCGGAAGATGCTCCGCAAGAAGTTGGAGATGTACCGCGTGCCACTTCAGCAGCTCAAGATCAACTACACCGTGTCCACCACCAACAAAAAGGTTTACACCGAGGATGAGGACCGATTCTTGTTGATCATGCTGGACAAGTATGGAGTCGAGGGTGAGAACTTGTACGAAAACATCCGTGAAGAGATTCGTGAATCGCCTCTGTTCCGATTCGATTTCTTCATGCTCAGTCGCACGCCCGTGGAAATTGGTCGCCGCTGCACTACTCTGCTGAACACCGTCGCGAAGGAATTCGAGCCCAGTGAGGGCAAAAGCCGCGGTCGCGATCGTGAGGAGGAGGAAGAGGTGGAAGAAGCGCCACCTGCCAAGAAGAAGGCTAAGAACGGAACTGTTGTAAGTTTTGTCCGATCGATCACCTATCAGTTTGTTTCTAACTCCTGTTTTTTTAGCCGGCCAAACAGGTCAAGGCCACCAAGGGTGGTAGCAAGACTGCCTCTGCCGCAAGTTCCCGGGCTCCCAGTGCTGCTGCAACTAAGTCTAAGAGTCGCAAGAGGTAATCATGTGGATTTGATGGTCCACGGGGTGTGTACGTTCCCAGTTTGCTAAGGTTGTTATTGGTGATTCGGGTATCAGGGGGCGGTTTTATCGGGATCGGCGCAGATAATCTTTTAATGTACTTTTGTAATTGAAATAGAGTTACTTGTCTTACGTCTAAAGGCTTATCGTATGCTCCCTGTACATTCCCTGTATCATCCCTGCACATTCAAAAATCCCCCCCCTCTGACCGGAGTCCGCATCACCGTGCAGATCGGACACCACCTGCCGCCATCACGCTGAAACAACACTAACCCTAAGTCATCTGCAATGACGGAATACAGGTTTCTAGATTTGCCTCCATAAATCTGGCAAATGACTAGCCTGCGCGCTAGGCATCGCAATATTTAAAAGCCATGACGACGCTTGTTTCAAACACCCCTCAGTTCATTGCATGACAATATTCTAGCATAAGTACTTAGGGACACCCCGCGCTCTAGCCATCCATCCTCAAACTTCTCAAACCAAACCTGGCCCACCCCCACCATGACGTCTAGAATCAAACTCATCGCAAACCCGCACTACAAGAAGTCCGGCACGAAGTCGTACTTGCACGCCATGCGCAAGTATCGCTTCACGCCAACCAAGGACGGCCCATATTTCCTTGGCACCACAATGGTACAAAGTGGTCGACAGTTCACTGATAAGCCCGTGGGAGGCCGTGCTCGGTTGCATCAGGTGCTGCAAAAGAAGGACGTTGCTAGCGATGAGGTCGGGCAAGTGGGTGCCCACGATGTGCAGAATGACTCGATGTATCTTGCAGAAGTTGCTATTGGCACACCTGCGCAGACGCTCAGTTTGGACTTCGATACTGGGTCTGCTGATCTATGGGTAGGCAAACGTCTTTTATGTTTTTGCACCATTTGATGCGGCGGTGGTTAAAAGTATCTAGGTCTGGTCCACGGAGTTGCCGTCTAAGACTTTGTCGGAGAACAAGAATCACACAATCTTTGATCCGACCAAGTCGAGCACGTTCAAAGAGAAAGATGGCTCTACGTGGCAGATCAAGTATGGTGATGGCTCTTCTGCATCTGGCACGGTCGGCAACGATAATGTCAACATCGGCGGGCTGGTTGTCAAAGGCCAGGCTGTTGAGGTCGCTGACAGATTGTCCGACCAATTTGCACAAGGTGCTGGTGATGGTCTGCTGGGACTTGCCTTTGGTAATATCAATACTGTCAAGCCCCAGGCCGTGAGCACGCCTGTGGAGAGTATGATCTCGCAATCCGACATCCCGAAGTCGGCTGAGCTCTTCACTGCAAAGTTGGGGTCATGGAGAGACTCCGATGAGCCGGATAAGGGTGAGTCGTTCTATACGTTTGGTTATATTGATCAGGACACGGTGAAGGCCTCTGAGGCAGAGATCTCCTACACGCCCATCGATAACAGTCAGGGGTTCTGGCTGTTCGATTCTGCATCAGCGACGGTGAACGGAAAATCGGTTTCTCGGGCCGGCAACCAAGCTATTGCTGATACAGGGACTACTTTGGCGTTGGTGGACGATGAGACTTGTCAGGCCATTTATGATGCTATCCCCGGGGCAGAGTATGACAATGACAGCCAAGGATGGATCTTTCCATCGAACACACTGGCTGATAAGTTGCCTGTTATATCTTTTGCTGTTGGGGACAAGCAGTTTGTTGTGCAGAAGGAAGATCTAGGGTTTGCTGAGGCTAAGTCTGGTTATGTCTATGGAGGTATCCAAAGTCGTGGTAGTATGACCATGGACATTCTGGGTGATACCTTCTTGAAGGGCATTTATGCAGTGAGTGATACATTTTTTGGGAATTCACAGCCACACAAGCTAATCCGATGGTTAGGTCTTCGATGTCGGCAATCTTCGCTTTGGTGCTGTGCAGCGAAAGGAGCTGCATCAGAATCTCTCCGTGCCTTCTGAATCTAGCTAGGCATATCCATCATGTAATATCGGGCTGTCCAGCTCGCTTGTGATATACACTTCAACATTCCGAATGGTTATTTACAAGAATAGTCGGCCGCTTATCCGGCCTTGTGATGTCTTTTTTGAACGTCTTTTTGAATGTCTTTTCTACGTATAACCAGGGATCAGACTACATAATGCACTTGCCGCTTTATAAACAGACAAGAAACTTGCTACAAACCACTAACAGAAAAAGCGATCCCAGTAACTACCAAGTGAAAAGCGCCTTCATATGCATATTCAAATCATAACATCACAGGTCTGCCCATTTGATGACGGGCTTGATAACCTGTAGGAAGTAAGTACATCTGTCAGCTTGGCTCATTGAAATATTGACTTGGAGCACCTACACTTCCAGAGTGCAAATCTGCCATGGCTTGCTCAAAGTCGCTCGGGGCATATATCTTCGCAAGTTTATCGACCGGGAATTTCCCTTGCTTGTATAGATCAATCAGTTGTGGCACAATCTGGACGACGAAAATTAGTGACGACTCAAGCGATTTTTAGAAAAAGGAACTCACCACAGCAGGATTCGCGCAGCCCTCAATCACACCAACAACACGTTTGCAAGCCATCATGAGTGCCAAAGGATCTATATTGAGGGATGAGCCAGCACGAGCCACACCCACAATAGCTAGGGTACCTTCATGACCTAGAGCTTTGACGGCAGCCTCGAGCAGAGGAACTACACCCGTGGTGTCGAGAATACAGTCAACACCATCCGGGAATATATCCAACAGTCCCTGCGCAAGATCTGATACACTCTTCGTGTTCAACGTATGCGATGCACCAAGCGACTTCGCCAGCTCAAGCTTCGCATCAACAATATCCACCGCGATAATGGTTTCGACTCCCTGAGACCGGGCAGCCAACATAGCTGCCAACCCAACAGCGCCCATGCCAAGAACAGCAAAGCGACTCGTCGGTGTCGGCTTGAGAACATTGAAGACGGTGCCAGCTCCAGTGAGATATCCACAGCCAAGCGGAGCAAGGACCGCCATGTCTTCGACCGTAATTCCAGACCGCGAAGGAGACTTCACAACCGACCGCTCGTCAACCACAGCCAGCTTGCTCATGGAGGACTGACCGAAGAACTGGCCGCGAATAGGACCCTTTCCACCTGGGAAAGAGATGGGTGACTCGGCAGCAGTGAGACCTCGAGCACCGGCAAAGTTAATGGGAGTCATCTGACCGCAGAATCCATTTCGGCCTTTGCTGCAGGGATTGCATGTTTCTTCGTGGCAGGAGCTGAAGCTTAGGAAGACAAGGTCGCCTTCTTGGAGGGACTTGTCTTTGACACCACTGCCGACGCGGCGGACGATTCCGGCACCCTCGTGACCTAGTACGGCGGGATAATCACCGATAGGGATTGCACCCTGTTGGACAACGATGTCCTAAGGGTATCTTGTTAGTCTCGTTTATTTGGAGGAAGCTCATTGCCGAATGGATGATACATACTGTGTGGCAAAGGCCAGTGTATTTCATTTCAACCAAGACTTCACTCGCTCGAACTTCATCAAGAACAACATCTTGAAGAACAAACGGAGCTCCTGGTTTCTCAACCACGAATGCCGTGGTTGGTATTTGTTTTTCTGGGATCATCATGGGGGTGGCTCGATCGATATGCGACAAGGATCTTCCTATGGAGTAATAGATATCTACTGAGTACTCAGGTCAAATATAAGTTAGGGTTGAAGGGAACTGACTTCTTAAGGGCATCTGGATCTCAAAGAGAGCCCCTTCGGGTCTTCCCCCACAGACCCCCCGGTTTGTTCCCCACAGATCTCCACAACCCGACCTCGGCGTCGAGTTTCGGTATATCTCAACTGGATACGAGTTCTGTTGTAATATGCCTAGTTCTTTGTTTCAAACTCTGATTTTACTTTGATTAGAAATCAATGAAACATCGTTATCTAGGTGGCCTCAGATGAGGAGATTCCCCCCTCAAGATGCGGTGTGAGATTAACCCTAATTCGGAACAGTCGAGAACAAAGAACTTCAAATCAAAAACTCCAATTATGTGCTATTGTACAGATATGCAGTGTAAATGCTAGAATACATAGTTATTACAGTCAGATTACCACATTTTCTCCTTTCCCGTGTTCTTTCCCGTGCTCTTTTCCTTCTTGAGGACCTCGCCCACAGTCATGGGTGTTCGCAGGAACTTCTCCATCAGCAGCGCAGCGGCGACACTCACATTCAGACTGTCGATGCGGGCAGGATCAGATTGAACGCCCAAGATGGAACTCTGTCGGGCGCCTGGAATACTGATGATGGCATCTGCATGCGACTTGATATGCGAGCTCAATCCAGTAGCCTCACTGCCCATCATTATAACACTAGGCGCAGTAGTGCTGGGTAGTTTGGCCCCACTTTGATCGCCATCGGCCGAGATGTGGTCCAAATGCACGGAGCCGGGAGTTGGTGCATCTGCAGCATAGAATCGCCACCCATTCTGCTGGGAACGCTGAATGAAATCAACTTCATTTTTCACGTGAAGGATAGGCATATTCTCTGCTGCACCAGCAGAACATTTGATCGTGATAGGAGACAATGGTGCAGAGTTGCGACCAGCTAGAACAATTGCATCGACACCCAGGAAATAGGATGAGCGGATAATGGCGCCCATATTACCGGTATCGACCACTCCATCCAATAGCAAGACAATGGGGTATCGATGGGGTTGTTCGGTTTCGTGCGGGGGCGGGGAAGGATGATGGATCCGGATACGATCATCCGTGCCATTTACCGCAGCTTCTTCCCGGGTTTGGGGCGCAAGCTCCGTCCGGAAATACTCTTCGGATATAGATGGAACAGCCTGGAGGCCACGCACAGGCAATTTTGGCAAAGGTGATGCCTCTAAAATGCACCCGTTGTGAGGTCGCCCAGCACTCATCTTGTCCATAAGTCGATCCCACCCTGCAAATGCCATCTTTACTGCAATGTTCTTTGACAGTGCCAGCTTGCGGATTGTGACCTTTGCCGCACTGAGCTCTTCCTCCGTGCTCTGGTAGATATAAAGCTTGTATAGTTGACGCCGACTGCAGCGCAATGCCGCCTCCACGGCACTAGTGCCGTAAACGAACTCAGATGCCGGTGTAGTGTAGGGGATTGTGTCCGGCACTTTCACGTTGTCCTTCACCCGCTCTGGCATGCTGTTCGTGATCCGGTGAGCCCTAGGTCTTGCTGGCTCCTTCTCCCGTGGTTCATCCATTGAAGGCCTTCCGCGTCCCGATTGTGTGAATGGATTATCTTGTGTTCGCGATTGGAATCGGGATTGGAATCGGGATTGATGTTCACGAGGGAGTCCTCGGAAATCACCAGAACGAATGAACTCATCCTCATCGAACTCGAACTTCTCTTCTTTTCGGCTTTGTCGTGGGAATGGGGAGTTGTCATTCCATGGCGATTGTCGGCGGTCATAGTCTTTACGACCTACACCGTCTGATGTCCAGGCTTTTTTTGCTCCGTATTCGCGCTCACGCTGGCCGTAGTTTCGTTGAACACCAGAGTTGAATCCTGATCTCTCATACTTGTCTTCTCCATACTGTCGTGCCCCATATGTTCGACGGTCATTGGAGTTGGATTGGTCTGATCTTCCGTACTGTTGTCGCGCTCCGTTTGTTTGACCGTCCTTCAAATTGGATTCACCCGACTTCTCGTATTGTCGCGATCTGTATTTCCCCTCGTATTGCCCCTCGTATTGTCGCTCGCGCTTAGGAAAGCGAGATTCGTTGCCGCGACGATTATCTCTGTCCACGGTCTGAGACCTGCGAATACCCTCCCCAATTGCTGAATTTAAAGATGCATGCCGAATAGCCAAGACTGTAGAATTCGAGGAGCTGATAACTCTTGAAATACCATTCAAGCCCGTTCTTGAGATAGTACTGAGCATTGTGACGAACTCCCGGTCTTCGCTGATCATCCAGTTCCGCCACATTGGAGAACTTCGTTATCGAACTGCGCAATAGGTTTCCGCCCGCCACCGTGCTTATCGTTATCGGGTCCAACGCGCAACCGCCATGGACGTGGACGCGATCTCTGTATGCCATTCGGTCTTGACTTCGACTTTCTTCTTCAATCCTCATTCCCATTCCTTCATTCTGTCATTTCTTTCTTTATCCATTCAACCCCATCTTCCCTTTGAGCATCCAGTCAACTCAAAGTTTGCTTGGTTGTCCATTGGGATCTTCAATCCTATCATCATTCAATACCCATTTCACTGCTTAGTTTCAGTTCACTTGACTCCCCCAAACCTCATTTGTAGGAGCCGCATGTGCGGTTCCTACGGCTCCATCTTTATTTTCTGATTTCTCATCTGATCAGAAAATCATCATGTCTCAATCTAGAGACAGTTCTCCAGCCTCTGACGACCCAGATGCAATAGCAGCGCAATTGTTAGCGCAGTTCCAGAGTGCATCCTCTCGCATGACTCCCGCCATCGCAACAAAGGGCTCTGAAAATGCCCTTCAGTCAGTGCAACAGATCACTGGAAACTCAGAAGAAACACCAATATCTTTTGAGATCGTCGTCCCAGTGGTTAACAACTCTGAGGACTATGAGTATTTGCCCGGTCACTTTGAGGTTCATCACATTCTTGCAGTCGATATGCATGAGCCGAAGCTCATTGTGAGGCTCAGAAGTGGTGAACGTGAGACTGTAAGTGAACACAATCAATCAATCGATCTCAAGCTCCGTTCAACTGACCATGACCTTCATTAGATGACCATCAAGAAACTGAAAAGCCTCGAGAACGGGCCGGAGGCTTTGCGTGAATTCAACCGTGACTCACAGAGCCCTGATCCCCTGGCAATGGATGATGAGCCCATTTCACATCTCATTTACTCAGGTGGAGATGGTCCTGGAGACTATGATTCAGATATGGATTGGGGAATAGCACGAAGGCGCCAACGACGTGGGCCCCAAATCTCATACGATCACTTCTTCCGCACTGGCGACGAGGATGATGATGACGACTATCAAAGCCGCCGTGAAGACAGCAGCGTGGACATCGAAGACTCAGAGGAGTCCAGCAATGAGGATGAAGATGATCCTCCAACCAAACGCCGCCACCTCAGAAGAGGTGTACAGAAGGGCCGAAAGCAACGCACTCGCGAATGGTCTGAACAGTCTTCCGCCTCCGATACAGGCAAACGAGCATCGTCCCGCCTGCGAAACACTCGTCGACGCAACATGAAAGAGCGCCTTGAAGATGACAAATATTCCGAGCCCGAGGCTGAGAAACCCAAGCAACAAAAGTTCTCAGGCGCGCGGGAGCAATTCCGTGAACTGCCACATGACAATGAGTTCAGACAGTGCCACTCCCAGTCCTGTGCCCAATGCGGCTACGGAGACCATGACCTTGAAAAAGGGTCTTTGGTCTTCTGCCAAGGTTGTACTGTCGCATACCATCAAGGTTGTCTTGGCGATCGAAGTAGCCGAAAGCACTTGGTCACCAAGGTTGACGAAGGGGATTTCATTCTTCAATGCAGTCAGTGTTTGGGAATCAAGCACCAAGAGCATGACATGAGGCCTCATTTGGGCCACTGTGCTGTGTGCAGAGACGAAGGACCCATGTCGCAACCCTTGCGGGAGACCCTTTCTTCCCAGACTGAGCAACAATTGCGGGAAGCCAATGATGGCATCGATCCGATTACGCACGTGGATATGTCCCGTGTCAACAATATTGACAATGTCCTCATCAGATGCCTTGGTGGCAGTCAGAGCTGCAAGCGAGCTTTCCATCTTCACCATCTCCCCAACATAACTGAGAATAATCGTGCCGATATTGATCCTGATTACTGGCAATGCAACGAATGCTCTGAATCTCCCTCTGGAAAAACCCCAATTCAAGCCATCGTTGCCTGGAGACCGAAGAATGCCGATGTCAAAGTCGTCCCGCACTTGGTTGAAATGACCCCGGAGATCGACAAAGAATATCTTATCAAGTGGAATAAGATGTCCTTCTTCCGTGTCACCTGGTTGACTGGAGACTGGGTCTGGTCCAGGGCTGCTGCCGTCCAGATGAAAGCGTTCCTCAAATCAGACAGATCTACCAATCCCATCATGAGAACAGCCGAGGCTGTCCCCGAAGACAATCTGCGAGTGGACATTATCTTTGATGTGGAATATCATAGCGAGCCCGAATCCCCAGAGGATCGAGCAAACACCGAGATGGTTAAGCGGGCATATGTCAAGTACAAAGGGTTGCCCTATGAGGATTCAGTCTGGGAAGAACCCCCAAGTCAGACTGACACAGCTTGTTGGGAGGATTTCCGAACTGCTCTTCTCGACAGGGTGCTTCGAGAGGATATTCACCCCCCGAGGCCGAAAGAACTTCAACGCCGTCTCAGAGATGTCCGCAGAGAAGAGTTTGACAACAGCCTTATTCTGACTGCTCAGCCTGCGTTGGTAACCGGTGGTAAACTCATGGATTATCAGATGGATGGCGTGAACTGGCTGCTTTACATGTTCTTCCAGCAAAAGAGCGCTATTCTTGCTGACGATATGGGCCTTGGAAAGACAATCCAGGTCATCACATTTTTCTCGGCATTGATCGAAAAGCTAGACTGTTTCCCGTTCTTGGTCGTTGTTCCGAACGCGACTGTGCCAAATTGGCGCAGAGAGATCAAGAGTTGGTCACCAGATGTTCGGGTTGTCACTTATTATGGCAGTGCTTTGGCTCGCGAAATGGCCAGGGAACACGAGATGTTTCACAAGAATGGCACTCTGTGCTGCCATGTGGTCATTGCTTCGTACGAAAGCATGACTGACGATGGGGGTAAGCGGGTTCTGTCCAGTGTCAATTGGGCCGGCTTGGTCGTTGATGAAGGTCAGCGCCTCAAGAATGACAAGTCCCAACTCTATGAGCGGCTCCGTCGCATGAAATTCGGTTTCAAGCTGCTGCTCACTGGTACGCCCCTTCAAAACAACATCAGGGAACTCTTTAATCTGGTTCAGTTCATCGACCCAGCTTACAATGCCGAGGAATTGGAGGCTCAATACGGAGGAGCCCTCGACAAGGAAGCCATTCGCGAGCTCCACGACATGATTCGACCATGTCTCTTGCGTCGAACCAAGGCAGAGGTTCTGCCGTTCCTCCCCCCGATGGTACAAATTATCATTCCGATTTCGATGTCCGTTGTGCAGAAGAAGCTGTACAAATCAATCCTTAAAAAGAACCCGCAGCTCATCAAGGCTATTTGCAAGAAGCAAACCGGGCAGTTGAAGAAAGCAGAGCGCCACAATCTGAACAATATCCTCATGCAACTGCGGAAGTGTCTTTGCCACCCGTTCATTTACAACCGGGACATTGAAGAGCAAACCGCAGATCCCCAGCTTTCCCATCAGCGCTTGGTCGAAGCATCCGGAAAACTTCAGTTGTTGAACTTGATGCTGCCTCGACTTCGAGAGCGTGGACACCGCGTTCTCATCTTCAGCCAATTTTTAGAGAATCTCAACATTGTTGAAGACTTCCTCACTGGAATGGGCCTCCAGTACTGTCGCCTGGATGGAAATTTGTCCTCACGAGAGAAACAGCAACAGATCGACCAGTTCAACGCGCCGAATTCCCCAGTTTTCGCCTTCTTGCTTTCGACGCGGTCGGGTGGTGTTGGTATCAACCTCGCCACTGCCGACACAGTCATCATCATGGACCCGGATTTCAACCCAAAGCAAGATATGCAGGCGTTGTCGCGTGCCCATCGAATCGGGCAAAAGAACACAGTTCTTGTGTTCCATCTGGTAGTGCGTGCGTCAGTGGAGGAAAAAATCATGCAGAAAGGTAAAACCAAGATGGCGCTTGATCACGTACTTATTGATCGCATCGAGGCCGATGAAGATGAAGAAGACCTGGAGTCAATCCTCAAGCACGGTGCTCAGGCTCTTTTCAATGATGATGACTCGGCAGACATCACGTACGATACCCCCTCCATTGACAAGCTGTTGGACCGTAGCCAGGCTGAGCAGGCCGAGCAAGTGGCCAACGAGGGAAGTTCGAACCAGAATGAGCAGGGGCAGTTTAATTTCGCCCGTGTGTGGCAGAAGGATCAAGGTAGCCTTGAAGAAGTGACTGAGACCGAGGACACCCCTGTGGATGTTACAGCGTGGGAGAAGATTCTGCAGGAGCGTGAGCGTGAGGCACTGGAGGAAGCTAACCGTCAAGCTGAAGGTCTGGGACGTGGTAAAAGAAAGCGTGGTGCGCCCCGCTACAATACCATCATCGACGGGGTCGACGACGATGAGAACCCTAGTCCCATCCGACAACCGCCTACCAAGATGCGCAAGGCGGCAGCCGATAATGACTATGAGTTCCAGCAGCCAGATGGAGATGAGACTGAGACTGGGTCGGAACACGAAGCTGAGCCCCTGCACACTGTGGATGGTGGAGTTATGCCAATGGGCACAGCGTTTGATGGGGACAAGACAGAGTCAGACCCTGCAGCCACAATGGGTATTGTAAAGGATGTCGCTGTTGGCCCTAATGTGTATGCTGAACAGCGAGGTAAGAACTAACCCATTCCAATCCCATGCGCATTTCCATTACTGCTTTCTTTATTTGGTTTTAAAATCGACCCTATCGTTTCGTATTGCGTGCATAAAAACACATTTTGGTCTTAGAAAACACATTTTGGTTAACATACATGATTCCACAGCAGCCCGCATGTTCCGCCGCGTTCAATCCCCACCTCCGGTGACGCCAATGGGCACCAACGGCACCCAAGATACTTTCCCGCCTTGCGTGGCATGCCAACAACATCACATCCCTGGACGTTGCCCACTCCACCACGCCGGTGTCGAGTTCTGTGGCCTATGTGGTCTGGCGCACTGGGGAGTTCGCCGGACCTGTCCCCATATGCAGTCAGGCGTGCAGGTCACCCGCATGCTGGAGGCGCTAGAGAAGAGCACAGAAGCCCCATCCCTCGTCTTGAGCGCTAAGAAATACCTTCAGGGTATTCTCAAATCGGTTGCGCGGACCGCCCGAGATGAGCGGAAGAAGGCCTCGCTTTCCGCTCAGGCGGGGCCTCAGGTTCAGCTCACCTCTACCTCAGTTGGCGGGGTGAGCTGTGCCAATGTCATTGATTTAACAGAAGGAAGTGCTGAGTCGTAGGACTCAATTCGAATTTATCCTGCCGCTGCCCTAGCATGGGCATCTTTTTGATCACTTTGTGATCACTGTCTGAGATGAGCTCCGGTTTCTCTCTTTCACTTCTTTTTATTTTTGTTTTTTGTTTTTGTTTATGCACATTGTCGGCGTACAAATTCGCATTGGGGGAGCTCGGTGTTTTGTCTTTTGAAGAGAAGAAAAAACTGGAAAAAAAAGGAGGGAAACCTCAAAAGACCAAAAATAAATCAAAAAGGGGGGCGTTCTGGGCATTGTGAGCGAAAGATACCCAACTTTGTTTTGTTATTTTGTTAGATTGAGAAAGAATATTCAATCTGAAGTTGCATGATTATAATATTGCATGTTATAGCATCAGTAAGTTCATCATGTTATAGATAATATGATAGGGTTACAGAAAGGTAGAGAGATCTAGGGTTATAAATCCTTTCTAACCAGTTGTTTAGATTCATCTCTTGTTCTGTGAACTTTGAGCAATCACTTTACTATTTACTAACTATACAGTATCCTAAATGCAGGTAACACGACCAGAAAGCAATCCAAATTAAGCAAACGTCTGCAGTTGAAGAAGCTGCGAAACAATCCTCCAGCAAGAACCTCACTATGCAATCCGAGAGGATTGTTAGTGGTGCCATGACTAGCAACAAACCAATATTTAAAAAAATAAAGGTGGGCGTACAGACATCTTTCTTCTTCATCACTCTACACATCCCCATTCCCTACCTTAATCATTCAAGTAACTTCATCAAACTGGGTTCACTGCATGGATCCCCCCAAAGGACATCATCAGCGAACGCATCGCCCTGAGCAGGCGTTCGCAGAGATGAAGCAAGACCCTATTGCTACACCGCAGGCGATGCCCAAGACCACACAGGAGTTCAAGGAACCTGTCATCTCGGGAAGGATCCTTCACCCTCGAACAGGAGATGCCCCAGTCAAGACACCAGATGATGATCATGAACAAGGTTAGTATACCAAACTGTAGAATAGCTATTGCCTCGATGAAAAGTGGACACATTAACAGCTATTTGATGATGTAGCAAAAGATTCCTTGATCAAGATTGACAAACCTGGTCCTGATATGGCAACTCGTTTTGAAGACCAGAAGGTCGCTACTGGTGTCAATCGGAAACAATCCTCCGAGGATACCGATATTCCCTTGGCCCCTAAAATCAATCCCACTGGGCCATCCATCAAGGTTGAGAGACCCGATCCTGATCTCGCAGCTAGCATTATCAAACAGGATGCCGCTACTGATGTGAAAGAAGATCCATCTTGCGAAGATACTGAGATGCCATTGGCCCCCAAAATCGATTCTACTGAGCCATCCATCAAGGCTGAGAAACCTGATCCTGATTTGGCAGCTGACCTTGAAGACCAAAAGGCAACTACTAGTGTTAAACATGATCCACCTTGCGAGGAGGATACTAAGATGCTTTTTGCTTCCAAGCTCGATCCAACTGAGCCATCGGTCAAGGTTGAGAAGGTTGATCCTGATTTAGCAGCTAGCATTGGGGAACGGAATTCCGCTACCGGTGTCAAGCAAGAGCCATCTTGTGAGGATGCTAAGATGCCATTGGCCCCCAAACTCGACCCAAATGAGCTGACGGCCAATGTTGACCACTCTGACTCGAAATGCAGTCTCAGCCCCTTCGATTCCAAAGATCTTTTGGAAGAGAAATGCACTCCGAGCTCCCTTGATGTTTCAGACATAAAGCCACAAGGCCAGCTCTGCCTATTATGCTTCAAGCAATGGGGGGGAAACTGAAGCGTGGCGAGAGTCTGCCGGATTGTCAGAATATCCATAGAAACTCTTCCCGCTGTGGCCAGTGTGTCCGAAGTCATTCCACATGGTTGCTAGTAAGAATACACTGGTCTCAACAACTATACCTCAGTTAACTTGCTGCTAGCTCCCATCCAATCTGACAAGAGACCTATTACAACTAAAGCATGAGATGAACAGTGCCTTGAATGTGGGTGAGGCCATCGAAGAAAAGAAACGCTTCTACGATGCATACCAAAATGTTTCCGGGGAAATAAGTCAACCATCCGCGGGGCCCAGCACATCATCCCTACAATCCTGCTCGCAGAATACAGAGAGAATGTTGTACTTTCGAAATCAATGCCAAAAGAACGCAGACAGCCTCAAGTTGAGAAAGCGAGAATACTACCGGAAGAACGCAGACAGAATCAAGTCGAGACGCCGAGAATACCAACGGAAGAACGCAGACAGAATCAGCTCGAGAAACCGAGAATACCAACAGAAGAACGCAGACAGAATCAGCTCGAGAAACCGAGAATACTACCGGAAGAACGCAGACAGAATCAAGTTGAGAAAGCGAGAATACCAACGGAAGAACGCAGACAGAATCAAGTTGAGAAAGCGAGAATACCAACGGAAGAACGCAGACACCCTTAAGTCGAGAACCCAAGAATACCAACGAAAGAACGCAGACAGAATCAGCTCGAGAAACCGAGAATACTACCGGAAGAACGCAGACAGAATCAAGTTGAGAAAGCGAGAATACCAACGGAAGAACGCAGACAGAATCAAGTTGAGAAAGCGAGAATACCAACGGAAGAACGCAGACACCCTTAAGTCGAGAACCCAAGAATACCAACGAAAGAACGCAGACAGAATCAGCTCGAGAAACCGAGAATACTACCGGAAGAACGCAGACAGAATCAAGTCGAGACGCCGAGAATACCAACGGAAGAACGCAGACAGAATCAGCTCGAGAAACCGAGAATACTACCGGAAGAACGCAGATAGCCTCAAGTCGAGATACCGAGAATACCGCCGGAAGAACAAAGAGAGAATTAACCTCAGACAAGAACGGGGACACAAGACGAAAGAAGATCTGCCAATACAAGAATTTAAGGCCCAGCCCAAGGAAGAGGTCCGGCTCAAGGAAGAGTTCCAGCTCAAGGAAGAGTTCCAGCTCAAGGAAGAGTTCCAGCTCAAGGAAGAGTTCCAGCTCAAGGAAGAGTTCCAGCTCAAGGAAGAGTTCCAGCTCAAGGAAGAGTTCCAGCTCAAGGAAGAGTTCCAGCTCAAGGAAGAGTTCCAGCTCAAGGAAGAGTTCCAGCTCAAGGAAGAGTTCCAGCTCAAGGAAGAGTTCCAGCTCAAGGAAGAGTTCCAGCTCAAGGAAGAGTTCCAGCTCAAGGAAGAGTTCCAGCTCAAGGAAGAGTTCCAGCTCAAGGAAGAGTTCCAGCTCAAGGAAGAGTTCCAGCTCAAGGAAGAGTTCCAGCTCAAGGAAGAGTTCCAGCTCAAGGAAGAGTTCCAGCTCAAGGAAGAGTTCCAGCTCAAGGAAGAGTTCCAGCTCAAGGAAGAGTTCCAGCTCAAGGAAGAGTTCCAGCTCAAGGAAGAAGTCTAGCTGTCAACTTCCTAGGATGAACTGAAGGAAAGAAGCATACCATGGGCCAAGGTCGCCAGGATAACCTTTGCAGAACCGCAGTTAACAAATTTTGTCATTTCATTTGTTTTGGTTTCTATGGAAGGTGTTTATTTGGCTTGGAATTTACGCTACATTTGGTGGATTTTGTAGTTAGAAAACCTTGGGAGATTGTGTTCTATAGTGGTTGTTGACTTTTACGGTCGAGTTAGGTCAAGCAAAGTCACGGGGCCTTGACCTGAGCCTCACTGTCAACTGGGAACGACATGCGACACGACAGGAAAGGAGAACAGCGCAAAAGGCTATTTGTTTTGGTTTTTTTTGGGTTTCTGGTTATTTCTATGATTGTTTTTTATTTTATGGCTCTGAATATCTTTTATCTTCTGGTGAATCTTTGTAGGCTGGATAGGTCGTGGCAGCCGCCTGAAAGCACTTTATCCTATTTTCAAGCAAGTAATACCAGTTTTCTTTGATGTGAAAGAGGAATGCCTAGCAGTTTCTCTTTTCCCTAGTATAATATCAGGCAATAGTTCTAGCGGTGATATGGTTGACATAAGGTAGCCAAGGATGCTGATATTGAGATGAGTCGTACTGGGTCGAAGAGGTATCCTTGGGAAGGAATATTACTCACACTTGCCTATAGTAACCTTAGGATAGATTATTAGACAAAATCATTGTGTTGCTCTCACAAAGTAACAATTCAGTCTTTGTCTGGATTAGTAGGTCATTTCTACCCTGCCCTCTGCCCGTGGACATAATGCGAAGGACCATGACTATTGGGAATCTTACATGCATACCATTGATATAATTGTATTTGAAGACAAAGGGGTACTCAGAAGCAGCATGGAAGGTCAAGTTTAGAATCGAACTAAGCATGCTCTGCAGGCAGCCGCTCATTCCTGCCAAGATGCACGTTCACCATGCCTTTACAAGCCAAAGGCATTGGAAAATGGTACACAGCTTATTCGTGTCTTTTAGTAGTCTGTTCTTACGTCGTTTTAGATTTTTCTGCTCTTCGATATGCAGAGGAACAATGTCTCCATATCATGTGCAACACCGTACTCTGATTTCCTGGTCTGATAGACCAGGCTGTCTTTGTCTCTCCATGGGGATCTTGTGAGCTTAAAGATAGATAACCCTTCATTGTGTATCCAATATATCCAGTGCTTCCAGTGCTTCCAGCGTTTCTAGGGTTTCTAGTTTATCAAGGATAGTCTTAGTTCATTGTATGGACTCAATTCATATATCTCTTTGATATCTAGATAATTAGCACGGTCAAGCTTCATGATCCCAAAGGGCCTCCAATATATGAGATTGTGTTTTCCCCCCTGAACTTCAGTTTCTCACCTCATCTTTCATCCCAAGTTGTTGTCTCCGTTTGTCACCTCCTAGGGCTGTCACCCTGTCACCTGTCACCTGTCCCTTCTGTCGCTTGTCACCTCTCCCACAATCCTCTTCTCCCACAAACGTCCTCTTCCCACCTTCTCTTCTTCATCTCTCTTACTTCTTCCTTTCTGTATCACATTCTTATTGCACAATCGTATCCTTTTCAATATCTCATTTTTATCTTGATCAAGACTTACCTTTTGTCAAGATGGCGACTCCCAGTCGCCCTCAATTTTTCTGTACCCGGCCTGACGGGACTTTGACCCCACTGGTAGCTGTTGATGAGCTGCCCTCCAACGTCACCATCCGCGGTGTCTCTCGCACCCTCAATGCTGGAGAGACTCAGGGTATGACCAGCTGTGGCCTGGCTACCCAGCGTTCTGAACCTTGGTCTGTCGACGGGGTTGCCAAGTCCTCTGACCGTGAGTCTGGAAAGGAAGCTTTGCCTGATATGCACAGCCTCTTGCTGCAGATACTCACCAACAAAAATGTCCCTGAGGCCATGCGGGCATCGGCGCAAGCCATCCTCTTCCAGGGAGTTGACAGCCCTCGCGGGCCTGGTGGTCAAGGCACTCCTGCCAATGGACTGTCTCCAATTGCGCCGACCTTTTATGCAAAGAACTCCCAGGTGGGAAATAAGCATGTATGGCTGAGTGATCCTGGCATGTTATGCTCCATGTTCTAACTCTTTCGTCACAGACCCCGAGTTCCAAGAAAGAGTACTGTTCGTACTGGATTCGCCACGGCGAGTGTGACTATTCTCAGCAAGGTAAGTTGGCTGAATGGCCGAGACCCTGTGGTATCTTGACTGACGCTATGTCGCATAGGCTGTCTTTACAAGCATGAAATGCCCACTGAGTTCCACATGATTGAGAAACTTGGTCTCCGCGATATCCCCCGCTGGTACCGTGAGAAGCACAACGTTCAAAGTTTTTTGCATCCAAACCGTACACAGCTTGCCATTGCGCCTCAGCAGCCCATGCGAGCCTTGCCATCCCCAGATTCTCCCACTGATGAGAGCTGCGCCGGCAAAATGACCGCCATCAACGCCAACCCAAAGCTGAACAAGTCTCCTCCCCGTGGACCAGCTAACCGTGGAGGTTACAACGGATTTGTTAACCACAATCAGCATCGAGGTGGAGGCCGTACCGGCGCCCCGAATGGACACCACAATAACAACTGGAAAGGTACTCATCGTGGCGGCCGCAACCGAACCATGGGCCCTACTCGTCATGGCATTAACGGTGAGCGTGAAGGCGAGCGCAGCGGCGAGTGTTCCCCGGGTATGGAATCCGCTCCGGCTACCTACCATTATGGATCTCATGGATATGGCGGTAATCAAGTTTGCACCCCGACTACCCCAGCCGCTGTTCCAGCCACGGTTCCTATCACTGTCTCGACTACTAGTCATGTTGCTGCTCCCATGGCTGCACACCAATCTCTTTTGGATGACGGTAACTCCCTGAACCGGAATGCATACTGGAAGCTCAATGAGCTGACCGATTGTAATCAAGATGTGTTCGAAGAAGCCTCGAACAAGCTGGCTGAATCCTACCACCGCATCCAGCCCCGCCACATGTACCAAAACAGCTCGAACCCTTCTTCTGATGGCGGCGTCATGCTCCCCAAGGAGCCCGCAGTGACTTACGATCCGAACTTCAGTGCTTTCGCTCGCGTCGAAATTCCTTCTCGCAAGCAATCTGACTCCAGCGGCTCTCACAGTACCGTGCAGATGAGTTATGGACCTTCCACTCCCCATATTGGGGATCTTCAACTCGCCGACAACGTGCCGCTGAACTTGGCTGACACCTGTGTCACTTGGGGTCCCATTGGAGGTCCTATTCTGAAGCGTACTTCGCCTCCTGTCGCGAACATTGCGCACATGTTTGGATCTTACTCCAACAGCCCCCGCAGCAATTAGTTGGATCATTCGAAGACTTTCACTCAGGCGTGCCTGGCTTGGGGGTGGTACTCATGTCTCCCGGCATGATACCACTCACTGATCATTGTTATCTTTTTTCGTGCACTCATGAGATCTGGTACATCGACGTGGTTTCCTTTCGATGTCAACCTACCAGGTAAAATTATGCGATATCATACAACCGACACTATACCAACCCACTACAAACACACGGAAAATGATCCAGACATACAACAAGACGACAATACATGAGTGATAAACAGGAGGCAATTGCCGACACATATTTTTTTTTTTGCCAGATGCGTTATTTTTTTGCTTTTTTATTTGATTTTTTGCTTTATTTTTGTTTTGTTTTGCGCGCGATGGGGAGATTGTTACACCCATTCGTTGACCGGAATGGATGGTGAGGAAGATCTCATGGAGTTGTGATTTTTATTCATGATTTTTTATTTTCGGCTCTGGAACTGCAGCAAGGCCTGGTCCCATCTGTCATGGGTGGGATGTCATTGTTGGTTCGAGTACATATGGAGTCGGATTTGGGGTTGCAGTTGGTTCTGCTGACTACTCCCTTGGTCTTGGCAGATATCTATCACAACGTTTGACTTTTTTGACTTTTAAATGCGATGTTTTTCTTTTGATATTACCATTTTCGATTCTCCAAAGTTTCTACGTACTTGTAAATATGCCAATAGAGCTTCATAGAAAATAGCATACTCGTAGAGTGGTAAGTCGAGAGGCAAACTACAAGATGGAATGGAGTAACAGCGAGCCGCCAATGCATGGAATAAAATGACTATAGTACATTCGAAAGAAAAGATGCCAAAAATCCTAAAATATGCGCCCGCGCCTCGCAAATGTCTGACAACAGCTTCTCAAACACACCCAATATACAGTTGACGAACATCTATCATCGACGAGCCACCTTTTTCCGTGCGCCAATCTTGACAGCAACGCGCTCACGCTCGTCAGTAGCCTTGGCCTGGAGAGCAGGGTTAAGCGAAGGCAGAGCCTTGATGGCATCGGAGACAACCGAGTTACCATCCACAAGGGCAGCTCGCGTCTCCTCGGCCGCTAGACGCTCCTTGCGCCGTGCGGCCAGCTGACTCCGACGGGCCTCGGTCATGTTCCAAGATTCGGGGAATTGGAGTCTAGTCTTGTACTTGTGGTGGCGGAGATCGAGCGGGATATCGGCGAAGGAGTCACCTTCCTTAGCCTCCTTGATCATCGAGTTGACAACATCTGCCAAGTAGCGCTTGTTCTGGGCACGCGAGCCGAACTTCTCGCTCGACATGCGGATGATATCGGTCTGCGGGTTGTAGCGCGTACCGGCCAGCTTGAGGAATGTTTGGCGCTGGGCTTCGGTGAGATACTTGGGGGTCAGATCTTGGGATGCAAGCTCCACGACGACCTTGGGCTCGGCCGGGTGCTGTTCACCCATGTAGGTAGTGTAGCGGAAGCGGAGGATGTGAGTTTGGGGAGGCAGGGTGAATGGTTTGGCGAGCTCTATAGTTCAATGTCAGTGGATGGAGAGCGTAGTCTTGATCAGCAATTGATCTTACTGCTCAGCATTGGCATGTCCCATGCTGTGATGCGGGCATATTCTCTCATTTCACGGTGCAATTCCATCTCCGCGTGTGCCAGGGATGTGATTTCGTCGTCATTGATTTCCTCATCTCCATCCTCGAGTATGTTCACCAACTCATCAGGCTCATCCTCAGCCCAGAAACCAGGCCGACGGGGGCGAATCTCTTCGTATCGCAGATCCTCCGCTTTTTCAATCTGAAGAACGCTCTGCTCGATTTCGTCGAAGATCGCGGCGCGCTTCCGGGGGTCGTTGAATTCGGCAACCATGCGGGTGTTCTCTTCGTCGAATGCTGTGCGGTCCTCGGGAGACATCAGATCGTACATTGATCGCTGCTCCTTGGTCAGGAGATCGACTGAGTACTCAGGCACTGGGGGGTAGTCCTCCGCTCTGAGTTCCTTCGGCGGAGGAGGAATCACGGGGTCATCCTGGACGCGATTGAGCGGCGAGACGGAGAAGTGCCGAGCAGAGGGGGCAATTAGACCCCTCTGGACCATTTGCCTGGCCGGGCGAGTCAATAACCGAGCTGCTGAAGCCATTGTTAAGGGTATAGCGTGGGTAGGGACAGGATCTCAACCACGATGTTTTCCGCTTCCACTTTTGCGAGGTTCACCGCCGTACGCTATTCCAAATTCATACTAGCGTTGGATATTCACACGTGACACCATGGTATATGATTACATCTGGACTGTTCATTCATCTCGATAATGCATCTTTCTACAATTCTCTTATGTGAGGATGATAATTGATAACGAGAGAACCTTCCAAGGTTGATTTCTCTGCACACTTCAACTCAACAACATCGCCACCATGAAGCTATGCTTTGTAACTGTGGGGGCCACAGCTTCCTTTCAGAAACTACTTGAACAAATACTTAGTTCACAATTTCTCGAGATTCTAGCCAAACGTGGCTATACCCATCTTCTTGTTCAGTATGGCAAAGATGGCCAGCAAGTTTTCCAAAACTTCATCGACAGTGACCAGCCCCACCACGGTCTCACACTTGGGGGGTTCGACTTCCAGCCGAGCATTGATGCCCAAATGATGATGACCGTGGAAAGGGAGGCCCTCAATCAAGAGCGCGGCTTGATCATCTGTCACGCTGGTATGATACGTCCCTATCTCGTGTATCAAATATGGAAACCCTGATCCACTTACCATTTCCCAGGAAGTGGGACTGTTCTGGCAGGACTTCGTTTGGGAGTGCCCTTGATCGTGGTCCCCAATCCAGATCTTGCCGATAATCACCAGCAGGAATTGGCTGATGAGCTAGAGGAAGGGAACTACGTGATTAGTAGTTCGGTCAAGTAAATAATCTATCCTCTATCGACTCGACCAGTCTGGCTAACTCTGGTTAGGGATGTGGGCAGTGCAATTGGCAGAGCAGAGACTCAGAAGGCTGAGGTATTGTCTATGCGAACAGGAAATACAAGTCTTGCGGAAAGTATGTCTGACGAGTTGAGCTTTTTGGATTAAAGGAACCCCTCTGGTGACTTTCGAGCACTGATCTCCGCTAATCCACTTTTGTTGACTGAACAATGGGATTGGGACCTGTCTTTTATCACGAATTATGACGTTGCATGAAATCTAACCAGACATCGATCAAGCAGTCGGTCTGAGTTCGGTTTGTTCGGTCTATTGAATGGATGTAGAAGTCATCTAATAGACCATGAAGAGAGTCAATTACTTTCTAAACCCATCCGAACCACTACCGATTAGTTATTAGCACAAACATTTGATCTATGCTTCTTATTTTACTATCAGCAAGTCAAAATACTATGATAATTCTGTAAACTTCAATTCTATGGTCGCAAGTTCAATTTACCAGGCGTGGACTAAGAGTGGCCCAAGCTCCTTGTTGACAATTCCCGATTTGCGGATTTGCGGTTTCGCGTCCACTCCTGAATCAGTGACAAGAACATCAACGCCCAACCACAGAAATATTATATGCGCCTTCAATCCAACTTCCGCCCCGTCAATCCTCCGAGTCGCCCATTCTAGGCCGAGAGGCCGTCTATACCCGCGCTTGTCCTTCCCCGACATCACCTCCCATCCACACCACACTCCCCGCAATGGCTGAAGCAACTCTTCACAACGTGCCAATTGTCATCGACAATGGCAGTGGCACAATCCGAGCAGGTTTTGCCGGAGAGGAGATTCCATCATGTTATTTCCCGTCGTTTGTCGGTCGTCCCAAGCACCCACGGGTGATGGCCGGTGGTCTGGAAGGAGACTCGTTCATCGGGTCCCGTGCGCAAGAACTCCGCGGACTGTTGAAGATCAGGTATCCTCTGGAACACGGAATTGTCACGAATTGGGAAGATATGGAATCGATTTGGCACTACGTCTACGAAAACGAGCTCAAGACCCTCCCCGAAGAACACCCCGTTCTGCTCACGGAGCCACCGCTGAACCCGCGCGCCCACCGTGATATCGCTGCCCAGCTCATGTTCGAGGCTTTCAACGTGCCAGCTCTGTACATGTCGATTCAGGCTGTGTTGTCGCTTTATGCGTCTGGTCGGACTACGGGTGTGGTCTTGGATTCTGGTGACGGTGTCTCCCATGCGGTGCCTGTCTTCGAGGGCTTCGCTATTCCGAACAGTATTCGGAGAATCGATGTTGCTGGTCGTGATGTTACGGAACAGATGCAGTTGCTGCTGCGGAAGGCTGGACATGTGCTGCACACCAGCGCTGAGAAGGAGGTGGTGCGGATGATCAAGGAGAAGGTCTGCTACGTGTCGCTGGATCCGAAGCGGGAAGAGAAGGAGTGGATGAACAGCTACCACAAGTCTGATGCTAAAGCGATGGACTACGTTCTTCCGGACGGTCACAAGATCAAGGTATGCACTGTCAACGGAATACGATTCGTCCTGATGTTACAACAATACTAATGAACTTACCTCTCAAGATCGGCCAAGAACGTTACCGTGCACCTGAAATCCTGTTCGATCCCGAGCTCATCGGCCTCGAGTATCCCGGTGTGCACCAGATCGTGCAGGACGCCATCACTCGCACAGATCTCGACCTGCGAAAATCGCTATACCTCAATATTGTGCTCTCTGGAGGTTCAACACTGTGCAAGAACTTCCCTGATCGGTTGATGCGCGAGATTAAGAAACTAGCAGTCGAGGACATGAAGATCCGCATTTCTGCGCCTGCTGAGCGCAAGTACACCACGTGGATTGGCGGTAGCATTCTTGCCGGCCTCAGCACGTTTAGAAAGGTATGCAAATCTTTCCTCTATGCAATGTATCACAGCTAATTAAATACTCTCTAGATGTGGGTTAGCGCAGACGAATGGCACGAGGATCCCGAGGTGATCCACAAGCGATTCGCATAAAGGACTCGCCTATGACGAAAGTCTTTGATATCATGGTGGCCTTCTACCGAGTCAACTCTAGGATTGATCACATCCACTGCCTCCAACACGATCCCCAAGGCACCATCTCCAATCCCCAGAACAAACACAAGAAACAGATCTTGTCAACCTGGATCGATCATCATGCAATTGGCAGTGCATACCAAGAAGTGATCGACCAACATCACAAATCCGAGTCGCATCCCCGACTCTTGATACCCCAGTTTCCAATTTCCTATCCAGCTCATGTCGTCTTGGCATTGGCTCTGACTTTACTGCAAATACAGTCTCTTTTGCGTCTTGGGGGATGGTTCTACTCTAGACATAATTTCACTCGGACATACCTGCATGCATAAGTTCTCGCCATCTATTTTTTATCCCATCAGAGTAGCTTGATTATATGTCCTCAATAGCCCTAGAGATATGTAAGAAATCTACTCAAGAAATCATTGAGTGTAACGAAGTAGCAGTCGATCCTATTAATTCTACCTATGGACAAGACCCCGGGGGCAAAGATGATGAAAATATGCGTACTCCTTCTCCAATTCGCCTCCCATTTATGAGTCAACTACATGTAGTCACGGGTATCCGATATAACCGAATGCAGATGGGCTTCACTTGGTAAGGGAGGCGACTCCTTTTGTTTTATACAAAGGAATCTTGTTTATGTCGTTGCCTTCATGAGGATAAAGTTGAAGGGAATATATATTGCCACATAGCAAATGGTAGTGGACTTGTAATCCAGACCGAACACCAAGTTCAAAGAAAAGATAGAAAATCCAAATGAAGAAGGTCGATAGACCAAAAAGAACCAAAGAATGTTCCAAAGCATAAAGAACATGACATCGGTGGACCGAACCAAAGAAAAAATATCTGTTCGGCTGTCATCGCCTACGTGCGGGTACAACGTTATGACTCGACGTGCGACACCTCCAAGTCTAGAATTCGCCATGAGTGGAACCCATTCACAACAATCACGTCTTAATATGTCCTAATATGTATCCTTTGTGCGAAATTTACTACTACTTACTACATTAATGTAATTGGAGCCTTGGAAATAATTTTGGAGACATGTAATCCAGCCAGGGAAGATCCCAAGCATGCAATTCATTGTTAAACCCACGGCTAGGAAGTAGTAGCTCAGAGTGACGCAATATTGGGGGGGAATATGTTGAAAAAGATAGAAACACAGAAAGTGCGACACAATGAGGAAATTAAACTGGGAACTCCGAGAATGATGCAACCAGACATTTATTGTTCGATGGCGCGATCTGGGTAATTGTGTTGAATGAACTCCGTAGACTCCGTAGAGAAGAGAACCCGGTTTCCAGAACCTGGCGTGTGATGTAAGGTGGTTTGGCGAGAGGCGCAAATTAACCACAAAGAACATAGTGAAACGCCGGTCTTGCCCATGTTTGAGTTTGAGTTTGAGTGTTTCGATGAAACAAAGAGATGTTGGTGGTTCCGTGGGAGGAAGATGTAGGATGGTAGGTTGGGAAATTGAATTTGGGGTATTTCGCGCAGATACATGCAGAAAGAAACAGTCTTGTAGAAAGACGGTCAACGGGGTGTTGTCCTCGATTTTTCGATCTGGATGATCTGGTGGAATTCCCGGTTGATTAAAATTGAGATGTGGTCAAGAGAAAGGCAAAAACTTTTTTTTGGTTGTCGTTATGTCGTAGATATTCTCGTCAGAGACGAGAAGTGTTGCAAGGGAAGTAGAAAGAACAATGCATCTAGGCAGTGCCCTTCAGCTTGCCCCAACCTTTCTCAAGACCACGGCGGGCCATGTCACGGGCACGATCAGCCACGGATCCAGTGCTGGAATTGGTAGCCGTGCTGGCAGCAGAGTACTTGCGACTCAAGCTGGAGTTGCTGCAGTCGTCACGGTACATGGTGTTTCCGGCACCGCCACGTCCGACGTGGTAGACGGGGGCAGCCTGGCGCAGATCACGTTCGAGTTCTTCGTCGAAGCTGAAGATGGCACGTTCGGTGCTGCTGTGGACGTTGCCGGCACCACCGCGGCCGGAGATGAAGGTTGTTGGGATGCGGGAGTCGAGACGAGCTAGAGAAGCTGGACCGGTTGCGCTGCGCGAGTCGGTGGTCTTGGTGTTCTTGAGGTTGACGACATTCCCGCATCCTCCTCGGCCAGTGTAGACAGCTGGACGGCCGGCATGGGGCACTGAAGGGTGCGGCTCAACAACGCGGTAATTTGATGAAGGCATGGTTGAGATGTGTGAAGATTAAGAGTAGATCTGAAGTATAGAGGTATAAACAGTCTATGCTGTAAGGACTATAAAAACTCCATCCAGGAATCAGAATTTGCAGGTATGGGTCTTTAGCAAACAGCGGGGACTCATATGTTATATAGTCCTGGGACCTATTTGGAGTCATTTCCAGATCCAGGCACGACATCCAGTCACAAGGTGCTGTGGGGGTCTGTTTTGGAATTTTTTATTTTTTATTTTTTAAATTTCTGAATTTTCATTTTTATTTTCTCCTTAATTTTCCCCGTCGTCATCGGAGTGTAGCGGCTAGGGATATTTCCGCTTTAATTGCTATGTCAGCACCGGCACGTGTCCTTAAAATACCCCTGTGATCTGGTTCAGGAAGGTGATTGGCCTTTAATCTCCCCCAGACGATAAAACTCTGGCCGCTTTTACTAAATTGTCCACTGGGCAACCAAGTCATCTGACTGGGGCTGCTCCACCAATGGTGAGTGGCAAGACGTAACAGAAACTGGCTGAGCAACCAATGAGGATTTCCATTACCCCCAGGAAATGCAGAAAAACCTCTCATTTCAGTGTCCAGATCTACTTTTACAATGCACTGTATAACTCACGTTATTATCCCTAGTAATCACACACCGCAACAGGGGCCATTTCTTGAGCACGTCAGGTGTTGCGCAATTCCGATCATTTGAGGCATGAGGCATTGTAGTGCTCCATACAGCATAGTAATGAGCTGGCAGAAGTGTGTTGTGTGCTGTAGTTATAAAATACACACGATGTATTGTAGAGTACAGAATACCAAGAGAGAAGGTATTTTACTGCTCCAACAATTGCATCATTCAATGTTCACCGGCCCGTGTCCACTTTCTATTTCCAGAGAACACCAGGGGCTATTTGTGCAACGGCACATTTTTCACTTCTAGGCCTAGAGGTTGGTAAGGTGGCAAGCATCCGTGGATGTGAAACTAGTACGTTGTGCAATTGCGATATAATGCAACTCTATAATTATACTACACAATGTATATCTGAGGATTGCGAATATCAATATCAGATCAGTATATCAGTATGTAAACCCTCAGATCATTAAAATACCGCTACATGTTGTATGTTGTACGACTGAAATTCAGGACGCAGATCGCTATGCACGATGACTCCATCGCAGAATTTTGCGGGATAATTCTTCATTAGCGGGCCCCGTCGATCCAACCTTGGGAGTCTAGGGCATCGGCTAGTGCTTGCACATGGTACCTGATGTCTGGGAGATCAATAATTCACTCACCGTAGTACTAGTACGATTGCCCAGCATGCCGAGAATGGTGTCTAAGGTTGCCCCCTTGGTTTTTGTCTCTCAGCTGAGCCGAGGAGTCCAGGAATAGGCAAGTGCCAAGTGTCATTCCCCAGATGCTGAATGACGTTGAAAAAAAAATTGAAAATTGAAAAAGGAAGGTAAAAAAAGAAAAAAAAAAAAAAGAAAAAGGAAAATTTCAATTCTCATGTGCTCTGACTGGCCGAAAGATCCGAGCGGTGAGACAACGAATCATCGCTATCCCTCGGTGTCTGTGCGTTTCCATTTCCCCAGATTTTCTCTTCCCCAACTTTTCCTGGGACCTGCCGGAGTCATGCGTCTCGGGGCCTTTCCTCAACTTACAATAATATGACTACCTACTATGTAATCTATGTGCCTCGGAAACCCCGCTCAAGGGGGTAAAATGCAAAAAGGAACCAATTCCGCTGTGATCTCACGTGGGGTTCAGGGAATACGTGTCTTCGTCTGGAAGTGACACGGCTGTACGGAGTAGTATTGTGATGGTTGCCAGGTACCAAAACAACATCCCGATCTCCCAATTGGATCATCAATGTGCACCTGACTTGAGATTCTTCAGGGGAATAGAATACATGGCATTCTATCGCCCCCTCACATATCAAACACAACTATAATCATGTAGTCTAAATGCGCGATTAAACCAAACGCCAAGTACCCCGTAGTATTCCCCTTCTTACTATCCAATCCTAATCCATAACTAGCCCATTCCACACTACTATGTAGACACTAGCCACCGAGTACCCCCCACTACCCCATTATTAGCTAATAGCGCAGCACCATGACACATGATTATCATAGTCGCTAGGCCGAGACCCGGGAACCGGTTGGCGGCTCAGAGCCGGCGCTGCATTGTTATTCATCGCCTTGGAAGAATAGTCAGCCGCCTACATTATTAGGGACGTTATATGCAAGAACACACCGACATGTTTTTGTATGTACGTCGTTTTAGATGTATATGAATACGGTAAAAAGTATAAACCATAGGACTTTTCTATCTACTCCATATAAGCGGGGGATATGCAATGTACATTGGCCAATTCTAGGGGTACTACTAGGCCTACTACGACGTAGTCTCACAAGACTCTAGAGTACCCCCGGGCCCCAAGGCCAGCTCTAGGGAATTCCAGCACTTCCCTGCTTATCCGGGCCTCGGGTCCCGCACCGGGACTGGCACTTAGGCTTTGGATGCTATTATTACGGGGTAGTTGTGTCATCTCGCCTATTTACCATTTTAGCTGGCTCGGTGCTTGTCGATGTGACCTGGTACCCGTATCCTGCTGATCAGGTCAGCTGTGTTACATTTGAGGGAGGTTGTCGGGATCCGAGGCTAAGCTCGTTGGGTTGGAATTTTGGCTGTCTTGGTACTGTTATAGATGTCGGCAGATATTGGCGTTGGGTATTGGGTGAGAACCTTGGAGGTCAGTTGTCTTGTTAACCCATGTCTCGCATTATCAAGGTAAGGATCTGTCATTGCAGTTTTAGACCAACTCCAGATATAACTCTGAAACACATTTGCGTGGCACACACAGTAAAACAAGACTTCTGAACCTGGTTGACAGTCGTGTCTAAAATGCTTATTTGGGATTCGTGCTACGTTGGATTAATGGCTTTGTACCACTACGATGATAGCACAATTATTAATGTCAGAAAAGTTCATTTGAGGTATCAACTAATGCCAAGACTATGGCATCATCCTCAAGCATCCCATCCAGAGTCCTCCTTCCATCATGCTGCAACAATCATATCGGGGTCTCAAACCCCCAACACCAGAGAAAAGCCTCGTCCCAATACCCGGCCCTGTGGTTGAACCTCAACCTAGATGCCAGGGAAAAAGACCCCCATCCCAATCGTAGTTAGGGTGCTGAGGAATTGAATCATCTCCTGTTGCATCTCCACCTGCATCAGCTCCACGTAAAGCCGGTTACTAGCCAAACCTTTCACCACATTCTCCTGGTACTGGTAGGACTCATCATCGCGAAGTCGGCTGTGGAACGGGCCCCCGGCCTTGACAGCAAGAACAGTGCTCATGTTCTGGAGCAAGCGAGAGATGTAGCTTGGGCAGAGCCTGCTGGCTCCCGATAGATCAAAGATGATCTCTTCCACCTCATGTTCATTTGGAGCAGCCCTACAAGCAGCTCTCCAATCGTTGACGAGCTCGACAAATTCGTAGCCCTTGGGTTCGATAGGGTACTGGGGAGAAGGGCGGTTAACAGGCGGGAGCGTGAGCCGAGCATTTATCTCCTCGGCCATCTTCGTCGCAATGTGCATCCTGAGGATGGGGTTGGTGATACATTGGTGCATTGGAACCAGTCGGAGCTTGGTAGCAGTTGCACGGGTCGAGGAAGTGTTGCTGAAGTATGCCTCGAGAGCCTGGGGGTCTTTGAAGACGAAGACTCCGTTGGAATGGAAGCCCGCGAGTGCGTCGAGTGACACCGAGATGGCAGCGGCTTCGCTGGTGGTGGAGCATCCCATGAGGTCGCCGTCGCGGAGGGAGATGAGAATCTCAGGTTCCACCATGAGGTTTTCAATGCTGGCGGCAAGCTCGTCAGTTTCCGTGGCAGGCACAGCAGTCGCCATGGTTGAGTTGGATGTTGACTTCCAGGAAAGTTTAGATGGTATGATGGTATGATGGGAAGTGAGATAGAGGGACAAGCGTTGTGGGATGTAAAAGATGTCGTGGAGGTAAGTCTTTTTTTTCACATCGCGCGTGCATCTGCGCGCGTGCATCTCACAATTGAACAATGTAAACGATTTTTGGATTTTCAAGATCTTGTACACGCGCGCCGCTGGTCATTATTGTAAGGGGTTTGTCTGAAGAAGAGCTTCTTAGGCGTTTCCTATCGGAACCGGAAACCAAGCATGTATTACATCGAAGTCCAACAGTGATCGATCTAGTTTGATGTGAACAATATTCCAATCATTCTCAAATGCAGTATCTCAAGCTTAGGAACTTCCAAGCTGCGCATCTGAGACCCAATGGGCGCCACCAGCACATCGATATCCGCCGATCTGTTTAAGCCATTGGTAGCCCGCTACGCAGACCCCCATAGAGCGTAGCTTCATCTGATTAGCTTGTTCCTTACGACGTGCCTCCTCCAACGCCTCTTGCTGCTTGCGGAGCTTCTCCAAGATTGCTTCCTGCCTCCTGCGCTCTAACTCATGCTGGCGTAGGGCTTCTTCATGGCGTCTTTGGGCCTCTTCATCTGCTTTTCGCTTTGCATCTTGTAGCTCTCGTGCTGCCTTTTCCTCCTCCAATTTCAGTTTCAACATCTTCTTCTGTTGCTCCTTCTCTTCCTCTTTCAAGCGCATGTACTCTTTCTCTTTCGCTTCTGCTAGAGCTTTGTCCTTCTCGAGTTGATGCCACACTTCGTCGGGAACACCATTATCTCGAATCGTGGTGGTAGTGGATTTGTCTGTTTCAGAATCCATCATGTCTGATTCTTTGCTGGAGGCCATATCCCCATTGACTGAACTTTCCAGCTTGGTAACAGGCTTGCTCAAAGGTTGAGTGCGTACAGCCAGGTCTGTCTGATCTCCCATTTTGATTGGAGTTGATGGAGGGCTTTGTGGGTAGACTTCCCTGCTGCATCGCTCATTGATCATGGAGTCAAGGGCTTCGAGAACAGTATCTTTGCTCAAAACTAGCTTTTTCCCGCTGGAAGACTGGAGAGTTTTGCCAAAGATTGTCTTCGTGAGCGTTCCAACATCTCTTGCGTTGGCCCAGCCTGCAGTTTTTGAAAGTCTATCAAAACGCTGCGACATTGCCTTAGTGAACTCGAAGTCCGGGCTCTCCAAGCAGACCAGATCAAATTGGGCCTGTGATTTGCTGAGGAGATCTCTTTTTTCTTTCAACAAGAGCTCACAAATTAACTTGATACAGTCTTCCGGGGACAATGGGTCAAATTGAAAAGATTCCGGGAAACGACTGGTGAGCCCCGGATTGATGGACATTAGACGGTTGATATCTGAATCATAACCGGCTAGAATGATGATCAGCTTCTGGGCAAACCTGGGTTTGGTAATGCCATCCACAATCTCATCCATGGCCTCTTTGGCGAAGTGTCCCTCAGCGAGCCGATAGGCTTCGTCAATGAAGAGTACCTTTCCAAGGCCACGTTCTAGAACTTGCTGAGTCTTCGGGCCTGTCTGACCTACATATTGGCCCACCAGGTCCGTCGCTGAGGTTTCTACCACTTCACTTGAAGCCAATAAGCCCATGTCGTAGTAGACCTGGCCCATTTTTCTGGCCGTGCTTGTCTTCCCGGTACCTAAGAAGGATTTAAATGTAAGCAATATTTCAGTGGACAAATAACTGTGAGCAGAGGGTTATACCTGGAGGACCACGGAAAACAAAATTAAATGGCAATTGCGTGCGAGGGTCTAAGTCCAGTCGTCTGAGGCTCTGGGCCATTTGTCGATAGCCTTCCAGTTTGGCAACAATACTTTCACATCCGATAACGCCTTCAAACATCTTCGCAACACTTTCCTTCTTATCAGCACGATCGAAGTCTTCATCAAAGTCAGGAGCATCAAGAATAGAATCCGGGACAGAACCGGGGCGTTTGGAGGAAGAGAGGCGCTTCTGATACCTCATCTTGGCGGTGTTGAGTAGATTATCAATCTCGCCTGCATTACCGAAATGTGGACGGTTGCGAGCACGCTCGAGCATCTCCAATACCACGCGACGGCCACGATCAGTTATGCCGAATCCTTGTTCTTTGAGTTTCAGATTCAATATCGCATCCAGTTCACCCGAGGTGAAATCGTCAAAGACAAAAGCCTGGTCCATGGGAAAGCGTCGGCTGAGGCCAGGGTTGACCTTCTGGAACATTTCTTCCATGAGGTCCTTGTAACCGAGAAGCAAGACACATCTGTCGTCACCTGGCGTGCTTTGTACTTCTGCCACAATGGTGTCTATCACGGCAGCTCTGTAAGGGTCACTCTTGGAACCTGCTCCATCTGAGGTTCCCCCAGCAAACAGTCCATAGGCCTCGTCGATGACTAGTACCTTTCCCAATGTAGATGCGAGTATGCCTTTGGTATTCTTTTCGGACTCTCCCATCACGCTGCCAACGAAATCTGACGGGTTCTTCACCACCACTACGATTGTCAGTAAATATTATAGACAGCGGGGGAGGTCACATACCTTCGCCGTTAGACAAAAACCCAATATCGACAAGTATCTGACCGTAGATCTTTGCAATTGAAGTTTTCCCCGTGCCAGGATTTCCCAAGAAAACTTTGTTGAGACTGTATTCAACCAGGGGCTTCTCATCTAGCTCACGCTGGTAGTTGTAGCGCATGGTGTCTAGAATGGCCTCCACTGTCTTCTTCACAGCGTCCAAACCAATCATAGTCTGCAGTTTCTTCCACGCATTGGATGATTTCAAAGCCTGCGATGGGTCTGGGCCGATCATGTCTTCTCTACTGAAGAAAAAGTCATCAATTTTGCTGCTACCCTGTCGCCTTTCCAGGGCGAGCCGTGCAGCTTGTCTCTCAGAAACCTTGGACATGGCATTCTCAACGGCTCGGGCATTGGCGAAGCCCTCACGACCACGTCCGCTCCCGATTCGACGAGCGACAATGCGACAGTACAGTCCCCCAAGGTTATCCTCAACCTTCATCTGCTTTTTATATGTCTTCTCGATCCATCCGACCAAGATCTGCATCAACTCCACGTCTTCGAAATCTTCAAACTTAAGCTCATGGGGGAAACGACTAGGAAGCCCTGGATTATGCGCAAAGAACTTCTCCATCGGTCGTTGATATCCCGCAAGAATGAAGACTACCTTTCCCGTGAGGTTTTCAACTTCAGCCAAGAGGAAGTCCAGAACCTGGGTACCACCAAAGCTGCTGCCGACGAGTTGATACGCTTCATCGATGAAGATGGCACCGCCGCCATCTTTCAGGAGGGTTTCGATGGTTTTTTGACATCCTGAAACACCATCATTCGCGAGCCTGGACCCGGTTGTCTCGATGAATTTGTCGCCGGGAATGATCCCCATCGACGATAGGAATTTTGCATAGAGGCGGGCAACGGTTGTTTTTCCGGTACCAGGATTCCCAAGCAATACGGATCCAAATCGATGGCTGCTTAAATCAGTATTCTGTCTAACGGAAACGTCGACTTTTGCTTTGATAGACAAGAACTTTGTTTTCACCGATTCAAGCCCAATCATTTCGATCAACTTGTCGATTTCCTGGCTTTGAGCGTTGTAGAACTGCTTTTGATAGTCCCAGTCTCTTTTAGCGGCCGATATCTTTGGTGGCGGCATTACCTGTCGATTTGTAGGCTGAGCACTAGCACGTTGAGTAACTGTATCGTTGGCAACACTACGGCTTTGAGTGGTTGTATCGCTAGAGTCCGAGTTTGCTTCCGTGACGGTTGGTGGTGTCCTCACAGTTGTTCCAGAGCTCAATTCCCGCGGAGGAGATACTGGTCGGGGGGGATTCCTTAAATCCTCAATTTCCTGGCGGTGTTGCTCAAGAACCCTCGCCCGCTCAGTATCATCGAATTCATCGCGACGCACACGCCTAAGATGAGAAGCCTCCTCCTGAGCCTCTGCAAGTTGTTGGGCGTACTCATTCTGCTTTCTTTGCCGTTCTTTCTCCAACTCGAGATCGCGTTTGCGCTTGCGCTCTTTAACCTGATCTTCTTGAATGCAGAAACGACAGGAACGCTTGACCTGGGAACAGGACAGAGATAAGCAATGACCCCGGGGACACGTCCATTTCACGATCTTCATGCACTTCATCTTTGAATGATCCGTAAGCTGGTGGCATTTTGATGGGCACTCGTGTACTCCGCAACTCAGTTTCACACCACTACAAGGAAAGTCAGCATCTGATCATCAACGAACCTTCTTTGTGACTTACCAGGGGGTTGAACATCCTCCATCCGGGCATTCTCGATCGAAGTCCTCCACTGTTCGAAGAATGGCATTTGTCTGAGGATGCTGCTCGCACTGGACGGGCAGTCCATCGTATATATGCCCCTCTGACTTAAGTTGGTCAATGAATGGCTTCCAGTGCTTTTGGCCCTTTCGACTAGAAACGAATGTTTCCGAGTTTCCCACCAGAATGAGAACATTTCGGGCCCGAGAAAGAAGGACGTTGAGGCGCTCGGGAGCTGCCATGAATCCTATGTCGCCAGTATTGTTGCTGCGGGTGAGTGACGCGATGACTATTTCGCTCTCCTCTCCTTGGAAATTGTCTATTTTCTCATGTCAGACTGTTGTTTGTACCTGCCTTTTTCTCCTTGCTTACCAATTGTAGACAGCTTGATTGGACGCCTAGAGTGGGAAGCACCAGCCTGCGACATAAGGCCTGCTTTGACAAGGTTATGGGAATCAAGATCATTCAGAACTGGATCGTTCTGTTTGCTTAGAGTCTGCTTCAGTAGACTTAACTGACCCAAATACGGAGTCAACACGACCAACTTCTCTGTTCCATACCCCTGTTGTCCGAGATACTTCACGATCTTGAGGACGATCTCTGCCTCGAACACATTTCTTTTGCTCCCTTTCGAGTTCTCGTCATCTCGGTCGGAGACCTCGACAAAAACGTCTTCGGGGTTTTTATGGTGGAAAAATATCACCCTGTCGCACAGTCCTCGTGGCTGAGGGCGGTTCTTGGTCTTTTGGTCATCTTCCAGATCAGGATACGTGAGCTTGCGTACAAGACTTGAGATCTCGGGGCACATCCTATGCTGCTTGCTCAATGTTGTATGTGGAAACCCGGCATGTATGAGTCTTTCGAAAAGAGAGACGTTCAGGTCATAACCATCGCCTTTCTCTGTGCTCAAACTGTAACTGTTGATTTTTGGCCGTAGCTGCTGATGATCTCCTATCAAGATCAAATGCTTGGTCTCCGGTGTCATCGCCGTAAGCACATGGGACTCAAGAATCTCGCCTGCTTCTTCAAGAAGCACGATGCCAGGTGAAGCATGTCGAATATCCTCGGAATACATTGCCGCGGCGGTTGTGGTGCAGCCGATGATCCGCTTTGATTTCAAAATTTCCCGGTTTTTCTCACCAAGAGTAGCGCTCAGTCGGGTTTGGCATTTGTTAAACAATGCTATTCTGACGCCCAAAGACTCTGCTTGTTCACTCAGTAGAGCTCTCTTCCAAGACCTCTCTTTCTCCTCCCGTATTTTCTGATCCAGGCTCCAAACATCGCGACAACGAGCAGGAAGAAGACCAGAACACACTCCTGGGTCTTGGTTGCTGATCCATCGTCCATAAAGGTAGTTTTTTTTCATTGGTCTTCCACGCTTGGTGACCATTATCATGCCGTTTTCGCCCTCTGGCACGGTCAGAGCTTCGAAGTACTCTGGTTCTTCAAACTCCAGGTAGTCCAAAATAGACTCAGCATTAGCTCCAAGCTTCTTGTAAGCCTGAAAGGAGTCGTGCAATTTGTCCTTTTGCTCATTTCCCTCCGCTTCAAGTGAATTAATGGTGTTCCAAGTAGTTTGGTTCCTCCTGTAGGACGAGTGTTGCTTGAACAATCCAAGCGGCTCAGTGCGTTGTGAGGACTTAGATCCGAGTCTCACGATGTCAGATGGATTAATACCAATATCTAGTAGGTCTTCCAGGAATTGGTCCAAGGCATGATTGGTGTAGCACATGACCAGAATTTTGTCTTTGCTATTGTCATGGAGGGCCTTTGCGAGAAGGGCACCTATGAATGACTTACCAGTACCTAGGCTCATACTGTTAGTTTCATGTCTTTCGGAATGGAAGTTATGGAATCATGAAAGGGTGGTGAAAGGATAGTGAGAGGATTCAGATGATCTTACCTGGTGGTCCTTGAATAAGACTCACTCTCTGTGTCAAGCCGGCTAACAGAGAATCCAGCTGCGAAGAGTCGAGCGTCACTGGCATTGAAGTTTTAAGGGTGCCCTGGACATTACATCCATATTCTTCCTTCAACTTCTTTACAACTTTCCATGGAGCTAGACTTGAATCTTGCACCGGCTGGTCTCTTTCGTAAAGGAACAACTCTTCTGTAAGAGGCATATCTATCCTCTCCTGCAAGCATTTCAAAATTGGCTCATATGCGAACATTGCGGTGTCAACAAGCAGGAACTCCACGTCTTGATAGAGCTTTAGGTAAAGCAGAGACTTTTTGAGCGCCTCTTCGCCTGCAATACGCAGCATAACCACTGGGGGGTTAGCTACCAGTTCATCTATCTCTCTTTCGATTGTAGCAAAAGCCACGATATTTGTGTCTCTAACTAGACAACCAAAGGCACGATGCTTGACAAACTGGGGCGCGTTCTTCAAGAAATCTTTGCGACCATCCACTGAGAGGCTCGTGAGTTTTTCAAGTCCATACTGGGCAGTAACACCAATGGTGCATGGCCGAAGGCGGTCTTTTGTTCCAGAAGTGCAGCGGATACGAGCGAGGAAGAGATTTCTTAAGTGGAAAGCCGACCGTCGGCCCTTCTTTGTGCCTCTTGCAATTTGAAGGTCATCGCGGAGCTCCGAGAGCATATCTTCTCGTAGAAGACGAAACTGATTGTCAACGTGGCCCGCAATACGTTGGCCACTGGACAGCGCCGCGATGTCTTCAGCACGGCGATAAAACGGTTTCTCCGTACATCCCATCTCATCGGCAGTAGGGAAGATGGCCGTCAAGCGAAAGTCGGCAAAATCATTATCATGCCGACCACCTGCGGTGATCTCGGAGTGCTGTAGGGTGGTCGCGGGTGATTTCATCTCTAGGAGATATTTGATCTTATGGCCCGAGTTTCGTATGTCAACCGAGGACGAAGAAAAGAGCGATCCATCGTCCAAAATAGTCTGAGCATCGGCTCTAATATCCATCCCGCGAGAGGCAGGCAATGAAAGCAACTCCGTCATCAACCAGCATAGAGCCTGGATCGCATGCTCATCCAGTTTCCGGGTCCGGAACGCCTCCAGAAATGCGCCCCAGAGGATACGGGGTTCCAAGATGATGAGAAGAAGCTGCTCGAGAAATTGGCCGTTGCAAAGGAGCTTGACTTCGCGGTGGTTCAAGTATTGAATCAACTTCGCAGTGTACCCGTTGATGAAGACCGGGGTGAGGTTGAGCCTCAGTCCAATTTGCAAGGCCTCCAGCGCGCTTTTGCTTGAAATAATTTGTTGAACAACAATGCCGGGATTACTCTTGTCCAGAACTGCTTCAATAAATCGCTTGAAATTGCTCAGATCCTGGACTTCTTGCTTTCCATGGATGACGGCTCCAAAATACTTGGCCAGTCGCTCCGATCGAACGTTTGTAGACATGACAGGAAATATAGTTCAAATGACAGCAGACTTAACATAGATAGTTGTGAAATCAAATCTAGAGAAAGATAAAAAATAAAATGAGGCGTAGAAAGGCTTTAAAATATAGAGATAAGAGGCAGTTTGGATTCTGCCTCATTGATAATAAAGCAGATCACAGTTACACTAAACATGCAGACTACCAGAACTGTCTGCCTTGTAAGCTTGTGCCTAGCTATTTTTATAGTCTAGTTGGGCTACCTAGGTATCCGCAGCAAAAACTAACAAATGCAAGAATGCGCAGGAATTGCGCAGGAAGAGATTGTGACGTGGCGACAGGGATCTATACCCCTGCCCCTACAGTATAACGCGCGCGCGTAGAGAGCAAACGAGAACGTACTTAAGATTTTGGCCCATTCTACTTCTAATTGTTCTTTTGCCTATCTCCACATACATTGCTGTATTGCTTGCCAACCTTTGTCTACTACTCCCTAACCGCCGGCATAGTCTACACTATGTCTTCGCGCGAAAAGGGAAGAGGGCGACGGGGAGGAAGAGGTAGAGCACGAGCGACCGAGATCAGTTCACCAGCACCTCTGGGAGATATCATTGTCACAATCCAGCACAATGAAATTGAAAGTCCGGCACCTGATCAAGAAGATGACATATCTCGAATCACAAACAGTCAATATCTGACATCCTACAACTGGCTTGGTGGGGACAAGAGCCGGATAATCGTTCCAGGTAAGATGACAACAAAGGCACTGTTCACCACCTATATGTTAGCTGACACATTTCTACCAGGTGAACCGCCAAAGTGGACGCCTCTGTCTAATCCACGCAAGCTTCAACAAGACAAGGGCAAGTATTATCGTGATCGAAATGCCGCACAATTTCCCACTTACCCTCTGGAGCCAATGGTGCAAGCAATCCTCGCAGATAAACCCGAGTTCCCCGTGACCAGTGTGGACATCATTGGATGCGGCAATACAATGGGAAACCTGCTACGTTTTGCACGTGGTGATGGCAAGCCCTTCAGGATCCTTGTTGAGGTACTCGGCAAGACGGTCTTCTTTATCAGAAGGGAAAACTCGCCCACCGAAACGATTCCCGGTATCCGTGGGTATGGACATACTTTCCCGGAAGCATACACCAGGTGGGGTCCAAATGTGGACGGTTCCCAGTCCCATCAACGGGTGGTGGAGTATGAGTTTGCCGGCATGCAGTGCTTGGTGCGTTACGAAGCGGATGGCTTTTTGCCCGACCTGGTTCCGGATCCCGAGGAAATCGAAGAAGATCCCGTTCCCGTTCCCGATCCCAAGGAGGAGAGTATCAACCCAGAGGAAATGTTGCCTTCTATTGAAGAAAAAATAACTTCAGATGTCCCCTCGGTCAGTACTGAAATGGCATCGAAGCAGCTCGACATTGCAATCCAAGGCCAGCGGATCCCACAGTGTGCAGTCTTTGACCTAAAGACTCGATCTCGCAGCAAGAGGACTGTCAAAGTTCTTGAGGAAGAATTTCCTCGGCTGTGGCTTACACAGACTCCCAACTTCGTTCTCGGCCATCATACATCTGGTCAATTCAACCATATTCGGGTTCAGGACATGCGAAATGATGTCAAGCAGTGGGAGGAGACCCAACAGCCAGCTTTGGGCAAGTTTGCCAGCTTACTCCAAATGATCGTTGCATTCGCTAGGAGCGTGGATAACGGAAAAATTGAGATTGAGCGTAAGGAGGGTGAGCAGGTTTTGAATCTGAGAGAACAAGGTGGAGCTGTCAATGGCGTTTTGCCCCCAGCTGTCGCAAGCAAGTGGGATGTGTAAACCGATTCCCACGAGGACTCACGAGGACGGCGGTTTGAGCTATCATTCTTGATTCAAGAATTGATCTGGCGTGTAAACCAATTCAACACAAATCCAATGCTTTTCATTTATGACAACTGACTCCAAAACTCTGTATTAGTCTGACCGGATATGTTCCACAAGTATGACATCGAGGATGGCCCTGGAAAGTAAAAGTCTCATACATTGACTGGGCATGATACTATTCAATATCGTAATGTAGATGCGGTCCTAGATTTGGGGTTCGTTACCATGCCTAGAGTAGTGGAGTGTAATGTGTAGTAAGGAGTGAACGAATATCGTATACTTTTGGCTGAAGAGTCTCGATTTCGGATACTTGTGTGGAGTTAGTGCGCAAATTATACCAGCTAGTTGGAGTTGACATCATTATTTCCATCACAAGGATTCACCCCCTAAGCAAGAGAGACGCCTTTGTTGCAAGTATAGCGGGTGCGATAAGACACTATTCTGCCACGAACCACCGCCTATTCAACCCTCGCCATGGAGCTCCGAAAGCACTGATCGGCCCTGCGACCTCAATTTCTCTCTTATCTGCGTCACCAAGGCTTTACTTCCGAGATTCAACCTGAGACCACGTCATTGCAAATCAGGACAGTTCTTGCTAGCCAAGAACCCCGCCTCCTGAACGAACTCCATCCCGAAAGGGAATTTTCCTCTTTCGCGCGACGACAGCAAGGTACTTGCTGCATAAACCGGCAAGATGCCCAAATATAAGTACCCTCTGGTCTATATTTTTGGAACTGAAAGCTAACTGCCCATGCACTCTTCTGTAGGTTCTACCACAAATCCAGGTCTAGACAGACCAAGTCGTGTCATAGCCTATTTCGGGCATAATGCGACACGCCCGACTAGCCTCGTGAGCCCACATCAAGCGACACACTGCTAACCCCCCACTTCAACTAATAGGCGACTACTGCGATGTCTACCTGACCCACGACTCAATGAGCGTGCGCAAGGCGCATAACTCCGGCCGAAACCACCTGAGAAACGTGGTGGACTATTACCAACGTACGTCTGACCGATGGCGCAGCAAGGCAGCCAACCCCAACAGCTGAATGATAGCTAACCATGTGAACCCGCTACAGAGATTGGTCAAGAAAAGGCCCAGTCCGTCATCGACTCCATTACCTCCTCCTACGCCGCAGAGGGCCAACAAGCCCCCAACATGATGCCCCCCGGTGCTTTCCCGCCTCCCTTCGGATTCCCGGGTATGACTCTCCCTCCCATGCTCTCCTAAAAGCCAATCCAGAACACAAGCTAACACCACTCGGACGACCAGGCATGCCAGGCATGCCCCCTCCCCCCTTCGGCATCCCTCCACCAGGCGCCCCCGGTGCCCCAGGCATGCTACCTCGTATGTCCCACCCATTTCCAACTCCACCCCCTCCCCTCAAGAAGCAGAGACAAGCATATCCAACCTACACCGGACCAAACCAAACTAATCAATATCCCCACCCAACAGCCCCAGGAGCCCACGGCCTCCCCTTCCCACCTCCCTTCCCTGGCGCCGCCGGAACCCCGCCAACAGGCGGCTTCCCCCCGCCTCTCCCCAACATGCCCCAGGGCGCAAACCTGCCAATCCCGCCCCCAGGTGGCTTCCCCAACTTCCCCATCCCTCCGCCCGGCGCTGCGGGCTTCCCGCCTATGCCTGGTCAGCCCGGTATGGGGCCTGGTGGTCCGTCGCAGATTCCTACTGGCCCCCGTGGCTTGGAGGGGTATCCTCCTCCCCCTGGAGGTGGGCCCCCCGGTGGGATGGATCAACGGTGGTGATTATGATCGCGATCTTGGGGTTGGTTCGTAAGTGGTTCTGTTTCTGATACCTTATTTTTTCCGATGTGGTGCCATGGGCATGGCATGGCATCTCTCATGGTTCTTTTTTACTCTTTACTATTAGTATAAAATAGCGATTTCTTTTTTTTACGTTTCTTTACTTTTCGAACATTGTGTCTCGTACAATAAATATAGTCTCTTGAAGTTCTAGTCGATTTCGACAAGTAGGGCTGTTATCAGTTCATGGAATTGAATTATTTATAAGAGATCTAAAGCCCTAGAAGTCTCAAGGAAAATCTATATAAATCATGTATCGGCGTATGTAGGCAAGAATAGTCGGCTGCGTTTGTGGCCTTGTAACGTCTTTTTGGCTAGTCTTTGAGATGTCTTGGTGAATATATATATTCTTATAGATTTCGCCCCCATTCTCAATTCCATCGATAGATTGACCGCAAAAATAGCGGGAGAAGGTCTTAAGTTGTGAAATCGACTTTTCTATGTATAATCTTTGATGATATTAATCTCATATACACTAAGATTACCTCCAGAATGCTGGCGTATAGGGTGAGAAATTTTGCCTTGGTTCAAACCGGAGAAATTGAAAATATATTCCATCGGCAGCAGACATACTGCAAAGCCAACAAAAAAGAAAAGAAAAACCCTCAAGGCCGATCACCAAACCCAGAATGCATCAAAGAACGCCGAGTGGTAGTAAAAAAAAACGGGAAATACACCTCAAAAGGATTCAGGACCAGGAAGAAAAAAAAAGAAAAAAAAAAAGGGGGAAAAAGTAAACGGAAAGGAAGGGATAGGTGACAAAGGCTCACACCATTAAGCAATGGAGCGAATTAAGAAAAGAAGTTTATCTGAAGTGACGAGGATGCTGCAGACTTGTGCAGAAGCAAAAAAGAAAAGAAACCCGAACCCAGAGGAATGGCGATTGGAAAATCATAGACCATCGGTATCCCGCGCTAAAACAAAATCACATATCTTCATCTCGGAAGCGACAAAATAGGAGACCAGTGACACTTTTTAATGGTCGTAGCCAGCACCCCTCTGCCAAGGACTGGCACTGTTTTGCGCTCGATAGGTTGTCGACAAAGCAGATTGGCCCACAGGGGAGGTGTTATCAAAGCTCCTTCCGGCGGGTGAAGGAGCCCGACCGTAATGGTCGTATCCGGGGGGAGGATTGTGATGGCCGGACGCGTTACTGGGGAACAGTGGCACAGATGGGTCAACTGGTGACCGAGGCGCTTGGGCCGCAGAACCGTGCGGCGGGTAGTTTGATTGTGGTGGGTATGTTGATTCCATTTGGCGGCCAACGGTAGCACCGTTTCCACTGGAGATAGAGGCAGTATCATCATCGAATGGGTTGTTGTTATATTGCCCAGGCTTCATATCCCCACGCGCTGTAGCACCCAAGGCATCCAATTCAGTAGTCAGCTGGGTTTGGTCCTTGATGAATGAGCCACGATCGTCACGCATGGGCTGGTAGCGAGTATCGGGGTTTTTGGACACAACAGCATAAACCGAGGCGATCAGAACCAGGATCAAAAGAACCAAAGAAAACACGGCATTGTAAACGAAGAAGACGACACCCATGACACCGATCATCATGCCGGGGGGGTTGAACACATCCGAGAAAACAAGCAGGAAGATGGAGTTGAGGAAATTGATGGCAGCAATGGAAATGTTGAAGACATTAGTCTTCTTATCCATCCAAGGTCGGAGAATGCAAACAGCAACCAGCATGGCTAGCTCAAGGATCACCAAAGCCACGGTTTGAACGATTGGTGCAGGCTGGCCTAGGCCGACGAACATACCCTTGATCAAGGTGTAGATGAGGAACGGAACGACGAAGTAGTATGCCGTTGCTCGGTACTGCACATACAAAAATCCCCACTTGTTCAGACAGGATGGGTCAGAGTAAAGAATGTATGCAGGGTTCTTGTGCATAGTCACTGAACGCTTTGCTAGCCGAATAACCTTTTGAGAGGCCCACCCAAGAGAGACGAGCATAGAAAGAAGCATGACCGCTGCCAAAACAACCTCGGCGGCCGAGTCACGCTGAGTGAACTCCCAGAGGCAAAGAACAGACATTTGGGGCAAACCGATGAGAGTCAGTCGGAACAAGATACCACGCAGAACTGTCTTCCATCCATTGCGGAAGTCCTGGAACCGGTCGCTCTTCATTTTGCCAGATTTGACAAGTAAGTCAGTGATTCCCTTGAAGGCGGTAACGATGATAACGACAATGCAGGTGAAAACCGCATAGAAAATCAGGCCGGTGAGGAAAATGTTGGTATCCTCCATGCCCGCACGGAATCCAACACGATAAATTCCTCGAACTACAAGAAGTTTCTGGCTTGTGTCGGATGATCTCTTGACCATGCCGGTTGCTCGCTTGACTATCATTGGTCCTGTGGCTCTCTTCAAAAGGTTCATTGCTGGGTCGGCAAAGTCACGCTTGCGGCGCTTGAGGACTTCCACAGAAGTATCCCCAAGCTGTGACAATATCGTCGATGGGGTTCCACCGGTTGCCCGCTGATACCAGGTAGCAATCGTCTGGATGAATCCCACGGGGATGATCCCCATGCTCCATTGGAAGTTCTGGGTCCAGGATTCCACGATTGGGGGCATATGAACGGCGGTCATGCCAATAATGGCTTGCGACTGCATGAATCCGAAAAGGGAGAGCGCATTTGCCGCGACGTGAGCGGCAGTGTTAGAATGACCTAGCCCGGAGGTTATGGCGGATGCAGCGAGACCTAGTCCGGAGATGACAGCGGTTGTCCACGACACTCCGGCTTGGTTAACGGTCTTGCCGTTGGAAAGCGAGGCCTCGACACAAGCAATCTTTTCATTAGTGTCGAGGGTCTTGATGACAATCCGCACATTGGCGTCAAGATCAGGCACGGTGTAGGCAATACCAGGAATTTTGTCCGAAGTACCAGCTGGCAGGTCGAGAGAGAGGGGTCCCAAATCCATGGGCCCAGCGGATATTGGGCACATACCCATGCCAGAAATCGCACAAGGATTAAGGGTGCTCTTGTATGCCTCGTAGCCATATGCGGTAAGGATGACCTCCGCAACAACCTTACCTTCCATGTATGAGACGCCATCAAAGCTGACCTCAAGAGAATTGTTTCCTGGGTAGAAGACGACGTTGAGATATGTTGCCGTGAAGTTGCTACTTTCCATGCACACGCTGAGTGCATTTGATTCAAGGAGCTGAACGGCGGAGGCTAGCGGCGCCAGAAAGGCGACAAAGCAGGTGAGAAGCGATATTAACCGCATTTTGGTGTATGTTCGATATCTGGAGGAAGTTGCGAAGCACTGGATAGGTTCCCAGTGGTAGATCAGGGCGAGGGGAAAAGATCTGACAGGTTCCGTGTCAGTGGCACTCCAGAGTACCACGTTGCCAGCCGCCGGATGCGGAAGTTTTCGTACGGCCGAATGTTGTTTGATCGGTGTGGAGCCCAGCTATTTCTCAATGTCTCCTCGGACTGCGACTGTACTGTATATTTGGCGCAAATTGTCGGGGTAAAGTCGAGGGTTGAGTGGAGAATGCCTTTCACTGGGGCATTGAATCTAAACGGATCGTAGAAGTGATCGTAAGGTAGGTTATGGAATCGGCAGAAGCTGAATTTGTAGATAAATGAGAGTATGTCAGATCCTGAATGAGAGTAAGGTCGAGTAAGATCGAGTAAGGTCGAGTAAAGCGAAAAAGCGAAATGTCGAGAGTGAGCGGACTGGCGATACACAGTATGGCCGAAAAAGGAGTAAAGGAGTAATAGACTTGAAGGGGGAGAAAGTGGGTTTGAAGTAAACACAAAGGTTTCCCTAGCAAGAAGAGAAGAGAAAAAAAGAGAGACAATGAGAGAATGAGAGTGAGAAGAAGAGTCCACGGGTTGTGCTCTCAGGGACAGTCGACAAGGGTGGGAAAGACATTGCCTGGACTGACCGTCGCCATTCCACTGGCAAGGTATGTGGTCATGTATTGTAAGAGGACAGGGGCGGCTAACTTTGAACCAATCAGAGGATGGTATTGTTTTGTATTGATGTTTGGGTTTTGTTCCTTACGGCTACCCATGGGCACCTTCCCCCCCTTCAACCCTCTACAGAATGTCATCTCCAAGAAGAACTTACATAATGTTTCACTTGCTTCCAAGGTTTCTTCCCTTTCTTTCCCTTTATTCGTTTCAGTCTATTCACTATTTTTAATTATATTTACTCCAGTTACTCTATTTACTCTATTCTCTTTCTCAACAAAATCAAATTTCTCTTTTCGTGTGTCGTATACGCGTACTTAAATTGCCGAAACCAGTTGATCGTGGCGGAATCAGGCGGGTCCATGGCCCTTGGGATTATTATTAGAGACAAAGTCGCATATGCCAATATTAACCTTGTATTACACTGAACCAAAGGAACTGTTGCCCCCAGCTGTGGAGTATGCCGAATACAGCGGACCGTTACGTACAATGGTAAGTTTGAACATATGAATACACACCTGGGCATGGACATAACTATGTATCAACTTAATGGACTGCTCCATGCGGTGCTCCATGCGGAGTAGGCTCGTCACAGCAAGTATTTCGTCCTGGTTACTCGCTAATAATTAAATTTAAAGTGTCCCTTTCAGATTTCAGAGTTTCTAGATCCACACTTATAAGTCGTTGCCTACTACGGAGTACGGAGTATGGAGTATGCACTCCGTTTAATATTTCTTCTGTCGGGTGGGGCCCTTAGCTGCCGCTTTTATGAGGGCGCTTCTAGATTAGTCTGGGTAAATTTCAGTCTGGAGCTGCTCAGTGGTATCACGTAATCAAAAGCCCATCCCGTACTACAACATATGTACGGGCATTTCGTCTGGTAGGATATCGGCAGATAATATCTTTTGGAATAACTCTCTAGCGCTTGGAGCAGCCCTAAAGTCACCCACAATGGCACAGTCTTCAATGCATACTGTCACGATTTTGTTGCGTGGTATAGATGTAAAG